GTTCCAGCCATGGCTGCACAGGCTTTGGCTGCACAAGAGGTAGGCTTGGGACAGTCCTTAGTGGAGTGGCCAGCCTCACCACAGAAGAGGCAGAGGTTGTTCTTCATCCTATGCTGGTGTTCAGCAGAGGTGAGTTTGCCATCCTTGCCCAGAAGATGGGTAATATTGGACTTGGACACATCAGACTTGGGTGGATCTTTCTGCTTGCCCTTGGCCCTGGCATCAGACTTTGGAGTGGAGGTGGAGGACAATGATTTAGACTTGTTGTTGGAGCTGGAAGGCTGCGACTTGTTGGTGGCAGACTTGGTGGTGTGTGAGATCTCTGCTTTATGCTCCCAGTAGCACACATCAATGGTCTGAGCAAGTTTGTGGAGTTGTGCGAGGGTAGAAGGTTTTCCTAATGCAAGTGATCTCATCCTTGATGTGGTCTGGAAGTCCACTATAAAAGCAGGTGGCAGAGTGCACTTGACACCTGTAGTCCTTGACCTGTGAAGCCCAGTGATTGAACTCCACATGACATATTTGGTAATTCGAGAGCCATCCTTTATAGTAAGGTTCTCAAGTTGTTGGACAGCATCTGCACTATGGCATCATGCAGGACCAAAATTAGTTGTGAGCTCTTGTAAGAACTCATGATAGTCATCCATCCAGAGCAGGTGCAGTCATAATTGTTTGGGTTTAGTAGGTCTGGCTCGAACCATGCCAGGGCCATACCCTTAAGATAAGACTGAGCAAAGGTAACCTTGCCTCTGTTGGAGCAGGAACTGTGTGGGGGCAGGTCCTGGAAGTTCAGCTTCACATTGTATGAGGAACTCACAGGAGTCTCTTAGGGTCGGAGCCTGTTGAAAGTGTCAGGCTCATGGACTTTGGTTTTCAGAGTGGAGTCCCCAGTGTGCACAAACTAGACCATGCAAGGCACATGGACAGCTCTAGCAAGAGCCATGAGGGGATCCTCCAGCAGCTCAGCCAGGTCTTCAGGGATATCCCTGTCACCACTGCTGCCCCTACCATCAGGATCACCATCAGGGTCATCAGGGTCGGGTCCATCATCTCAGGTTTCAAGGAGATGGAGTATGGAAAGTGGTTGAGTGGAGGTCAGAGCGACCAGCTTGCAAAGTGCTTTGCACCTTCAGTGCAGAGAACATGCATCAAGCAGAGAATGATTGGAACTGTTTGAATGATGGAAGGGAGTCGACATGGATTAGCTAGTGCACAACAGTGAGGTTCTCAGGCAACCTCTCTCTGGGATTGAGCTCGAGTTCTCATACATGGTGTAAGTTTTTTCAGAAGACAGAAACATGAGATCATACAAGTGCAAGTATGAATATACTGTCAAGTCTGGGCCTACTCCAATCAACTCTGATGCTGGATGAGGTCCAGGGAGAAGTTTGGAAGCAAGTCCAACAGAAAGAGCAGAACTCCAACTGGCAGAGTGTTGGCAGGAATGAAATCCACCAAGGTAAGGGCAGAGCAAAGTGAGGACATCAGGTTTAGCTCATGCGCTACCCCCTTGCACAATCTCAGCCCTCATATTTCAGAGGGGGAGTACAGATGGACAGTCAGAGGTAACTCCAACAGGCAGAAGATGGAGACAGAGGGAGTAGGAACTAAGTTGATATTTGTACTGAGGAATGACAGGAGTATGATACATGCTTTTATACTACCACAGGAGGTACAGTAACCAGAATCAGAACTGACATATGGAGACCCAGCAATTTTCAAGTAAAAATTCCTAGACAACGAATGAAGGGTAGATGGAGGACATACAAACAGGTAACATAGAACATCCAGAAAAGGAAACAGTCCAGGTGCTGGACCATGTGGTGTGCATGCTGCAGAGTACCTGACTGTGAGCTGTCAGGGAGGAGTCCAAAGGTAGTCACATGACTCCTCAGAGAATGGTCCATTCAGTCTGGTAGGAGAGCAGTACAAGTCCAACAGCAGCTGGAGTGGAGACAGCTTGTAACCAACAGAAGTTGGGCAGAGTTGGTGCAGAGTCAGTGAATGACCAATGGAAAGGGGTGTGGAGTGAGTGAGGACTTAGGATGAATGCATGACCATGACAGGGCCCATCCATATGTTGTGACACTATAAATGATATTACTGATGGGCCTGTCTTTATGTTGTGACAGGGGTGCATCTTACTGGATGGGCCCATCTATGTGTTGTGACACTGTAAATGATATTACTGATGGGCCCATCTTTATGTTGCAACAGGCATACATGTTGCTATTGATGGCCCATCCATGTGTTGTGACCATGTAATTGATATTACTGATGGGCCCATCTTATGTTGCAACAGGGGCATATCTTACTAGATGGGCCTGTCCATCTGTTGTGACAATGTAATTGATAATACTGACTGGCCTGTCTTTATGTTGTGACATGGGTGCATCTTACTAGATGGGCCTGTCCATGTGTTGTGACCCTGTAAATGATATATATTGAAGGGCCCATCTTTATGTTGCGACAGGTACATCTTACTATGGACAGGCCTGCCCATGTGTTGTGATGGTATAAATGATATTACAGAAGGGCCCATTGTCACACACCAAAGGTGTTTGGTGAGGTGGACATGGATACAGTTGATGAATGGAGATGAAGACCATAGCCCTCCTGTGAAGAAGGACAGCCAGAAATGTTGGCAGTCATCAGTGCCAAAGAAAAAGAAAGGGAGCAAGTTAAGTGCTGGTTAAAATTCTTAAGCACCCATGTATGGCATTCCAGGTTTTCAACATATCTCTGCTGTCTCTGCAGATACCTGAGACCATTCCCACACTCACTTGTAGTGCTCAGCCACATAATCCTACCTTCCAAAATTGGAAAGGATTTGCACACTCCACATGTTTCTACAGCACTCCCTCCAAAAGATGCTCATTTCACTAATTCTTCTGATATGGCTGCCTCCTACATCAATCATTTTGCTTGTCCCCTTTGCTAGGGACCATGGCTACATATATCTACCAGGAGTTCCTACCAGCTTCCATCCTGAAGCATCCTGGTACATCCCACCCTCATCTGCACCCTCTCAGCCCATCCAGCTTGGACAGCATGTTCTTTTTGTCAGTATGACCTCTAGGAGGATGTTCTTTGGTTGCCTCAGGTCTGTCATTCACTTGGAAAGGTCTTATGTGGTCATTTCAGTCTCTCCAGTCCAAGAAGCATATGGATCCTTCCTCCCTGCTCCCTGCAATGTCTTTGTACCAGTCTCACCTGTCATTCTTCCAAGATTGCAACAGCTACAGTATAATCTACTGTTCTCCACTCTCCCTGATCACATCCATGACAAGTATGATGCACATCTTGCCTCCTTGTTGCAAGATACAGCAGAAGACACTCCCCATTCATCCTCTCTTCCAACAGAGCCTCATTCATGAAGTTTTTATTTGCTTCACTGAGAGGATGGTTTGGGGGGGAAAGTTGTGATCCCCTATGCTCCTGTCACCCCACAGACCCCCAAAGCTTGACCCCAGTTGACATCTGACTCACCCTGTCCACTTTTGGATATACTATATTAGCATCAGATCAGCACTGCCTCTCTGTCATCCCACCTTGGCCTAGAAGTGATCTCTTTGAGATGTGACATGCACAGCCTCCCCCTAATGTGATTCCAGTGCACTTTCCCAGTTCCTGACATTACTTGACTCATACTTTGATGTTTTGACTGTCTTTGACTCACCTATTGCCAATACTTACCAATCTTTTGACCTTGCTTACTGATCCTTTGCCTTTTGGCTTGCTAATCCTTACCAATGCTTTACAATGCTTTACAAGATGATTATCCACTGCTTACATTCCTTACTCATCAGCTACCAATCACTTACCAAGTGTTTGCACCTTGTTTTCCATGGGCAACACCCTGTACTGTATATAAATCACTGTACTTAGATAGCAAAAAAAAAAGGAAGATGTCAGAGAGCCCCTCTTGCTCAAATTTTATCATCACTCAGTAATTCATTCAGCAGCTTCAATAGTTGAGACTTTATTAAGGGTCTAACTATTGTCTACTTCACTTATCCTTGTCTATCATCAATATACTTCACTCCAAGCCCTCCCTGAGCTCAGTGCAGCTTAGGACATTGAATTAAGTCACCATCCATCCTTCTGTAGGCTGACAGCAGTCTACCCTATCACTTTCTATCACATTCTTGCTCCCTCTTCATCAGGAGCACCCCCAACCCTCAGCACTTGTCTTTGAGTGTCATAGCTCACAAAAACCCTCCCAAAGAACAGGTTCTACCATCTAGGTACTGCATAGGCACACCACCACTTGCTCTTTTTGTCTTTTGTGTTGGTTTTAGTTGGTTTTCACCACTGAACTACACTTTGACTCACACCATCCATATGTTGTGACACTATAAATGATATTACTGATGGGCCCATCTTTATGTTGTGACAGGGGTGCATCTTACTGGATGGGCCTGTCTATGTGTTGTGACACTGTAAATGATATTACTGACAGGCCTGTCTTTATGTTGCAACAGGCATACATGTTGCTATTGACAGGCCTGTCCATGTGTTGTGACTGTGTGATTGATATTACTGATGGACCTGTCTATGTGTTGTGACACTGTAAATGATATTACTGATGGGCCCATCTTTATGTTGCAACAGGCATACATGTTGCTATTGACAGGCCCACCCATGTGTTGTGACCATGTAATTGATATTGCTGAAAGGCCTGTCTTCATGTTGTGATGTGGGTGTTACTGTATGATTCAGATACTGGAAAACCAATCTGGTATGGTATTGTGATGCTAGAGTATGCATATTAGCTTAGGATATTTCTATTTGGTGTTGCAACCCAGTACCTGTTGGGGAAGCTTTCCCCCCTTCGCCTTACTTATATATGCCACCACCTTCGATGGATGTGAAGGCCCTACCCTCATCCACTCCGCCGCCGTGCCCTTTCAAGAGTACCGCAACAAGAGGCCGTTATTCTCTTAGAATCTAACAACGAAAATACATGCGCTGAGTTGCCACACACTCCAACATAAACACGACTTCAGCAAATTCAGTGACTGCGACGTCCACAACCAACGGCTCTCTTGCTGCTAGAGAGTAGAGGATTTTTATTCGAGCTTTCTTTGTCCCTCTTGAACCATGTTATACTTCTGGACATCGTGTCTCGATATTTCTGCTTGTTTATGGGTTCTGTGGCGTCACACCGCAGTCACAGTCCAGTCTGGGTAAATAGGATGTGTACACACTACCCCTGGCCATGTCGAGAAGGCATGGCCGCATCACCTAAACGGTGTATGAATCACTTCTGCAGTGAGCACTCGGGGACTGTCGTGAATGTGAAACTATCGCGAGACTCGTGAGTGCGCTAAAATGATGGTCCTTTCTCGCCCGTTACGAGCACCATTGGACTAAATATCTGCTCGGGAATAAAATCAGCCAAGCGAAGACGAGAGCTGTTATGCACGCACTTGTAGACGCCCTGCTGTCAACAACGCCCTGCTGGACAGTTGCCCGTGCCACCAGCTGAGAGACACAGATGGGCTGGATCGAGTGCTCTGCTGACTTTCGAGGGGACGGTACCACGGAATGTCAGTGTGACAAAGAGAGAGGTCTCTGGCGGTAACATTCACGAGCCCCCCTGCCCTCAGGTTGGCTATAAGATCTGCAATGGTACTGAGGGGATTCTCCTGTACAGTCTTCGGGAAGCTCTGCAGGAGGTTCTGGGCCACCACTACGTGCTCTGGATTAGTCGGAGTCATTGCGTCGGTGAAACACCATTCGTAGATCGCAAGCTAACATGTAACAGCGTAAGCTTACATGCATCTGCGTGGGGGTGATGTGATGTACTCTGCCGGAGGGCTTAAGTATCCTCTTAACATGTTTATAAAACATTTTTGGCGAAGTGATTCGCTATGACAATATGTTAGCCCAAACCATGACAAGCATATGAACCTCTTACATATCCAAGTTCAATGGCAAATACAGCATCGAAAGAGCAGTCCGGGAAGTTAGTAAGGGCTTCACAAAGGTCTCCGACTGTTGGCAATCGTCAGTCGAGATCATGTACAGGACAACGTGGGGATGCTGACCGTGATGGTAGGTGAGTCGATCTGTAAGACCTGCCTCTTCTGCAGCGGTCCTTGCCCTTGAAATCTATTTAAATGTTGGTCTAGCGGGATGCCAGCAGAAGGAGGATACAAGCTACGGACAAGGCGACTGTCTGTATCGATCCCGATGACATCGACGTCAGAGAAATGCACGAGTTGTCGAGATACGGTGCCGTTGCCACATGCCACAGCGAGAACTCTTTTCTTAGGTCTCAGGCAAAGCTGACCGAAGAGGATGTGCTGATGGCGAGCCATTGCGTTGGGTAGGCTATCGCCTTGCTCGATCCTCGAGAAGTGAAAGGCGTCGTACGAACAATGCTCTTTTCTAGCTCGGTTGGAGCCACGCAGGAAAAGTCCGGAGAATGCTGATACTGAGTGGAAGATAATGTTGAGCAGGGGTCTTTGGACTCTGATGTTGATGTCCAAATGATCCTACCTGCTGCAAGGCGTGATGCAAACTGCTCTCTTCGGCTGCAGATATGTTCGCATGGGCTGGACGGACGCATGATGTAGTGTCGTGCAGTGAACGAAGTATTCTTTTACCGTTGACTATTTATTCACGTTCTATAACGAAGCTTGATTGGGAGATAAAGCTTGAAAATCGAGCATCAACGCACAGCGCCTGAACCAAAGGTAACCATGTGTTTCGTTGGACCTCCAAATATGATGGCGTGAGTCGGACCATCAAAGCATTTGGAGCTGGCGGCAAGAAGGATCACGGTCCGGGCTGCCATTCGCTTGATCTGCGCTCAATAGCGTTGCGCCATGATTCCGTTGCATAACGAGCAAAGGCTACTTCGGGTTTAGCAGAGCGGAGAGAAAAGCCATCATTTACGTAATGATCTTGAACATCAGCTTCAAGCTCCGAGAGTTACAGCCTTTGATGATCAAAACAGCACGAATCCGTTCGAATCACATCAGATCTTTTCAGAAACGCCACCAAGCTGTGAACACTGTGATCAGGTGACAACGAACCTGATCAGACAGTGCTGTGGAACGCACGTCGTGCTTCCATACAGCACTGACCTTGTAATCGCAATTGCAGTCCAAATGGCGTCGCAGGTGCAAGAGGGTCGATGCATTATAGAAAAAACCAGGGTGCGAGATAAAGGAGAGTGAGTCACCGTGCAGCGCCTGTTAACTGCCTCAGTAAGTCAGTTCTCGAACTAAGTAAGGGTTAGACCTGAGACTGCGTTTACATGCGGTCAGGTATATCTGGAAGTACTAATAGTCACGAATGCGTCTCATCTGTTCGCGTCCTCAAGTTACTACATTAAGTACGTATGGATAACTTGAATTGGCTTCAAATGTCGCTTGTTACAACAGAGCATATCGTCCGTTTCTAAGGTCTCGTTCATCTTTGGAAGATATTATGACCTGCCATTCAACATGCAAGTCGGCAGGAAATCTACTGTATGAATTCGCGTCCGCGACTGCGTAGCGCTAATTCGCAGGTGTGCTTTGACAACCTCCTTTCAGCTATGACTGACAGCTCGATCTCCTTCTTTACGGTGACCACAAGGATCGGCCTTTCCTTCGAGGATATAACATTTCTGTATGTATACTCTGGACGGCGCATTGAAATTTGACTTTTAGTTGTACGTTCGCACCTCTCACAACATGATCTTCGATTTCTCCACTGACCTCGCTATTGCAGCCGCCGATGGTTTGTCATCTTGTACGTTTATCCCGGGTCTGCGCTTGCTTCGCGTGCTCACAAAAATTCAGGAGTGGAGACATCTCGTTCACCACCGTTGTGAGTATGATCGCCAGTATGCATTCGTATGTACTCTATCGGAACCGCAGATGTAAGAGCAAAAATGTACACATCCAGAGTTGCTCTTGTCGACGCCAAATGCATCGTGTTTTGTCTCCTTTGTGTCGATACTTATTTGTATGTGTGTTCTGTTTAACTTCTGACGATGGAGAACTAATCAGTCGCATCGAAAGGTGAATTTGCGGTTAGCCTTCGTTATGGTCTGGCGCAACATCTTCATGGACATGCATTGTTTAGTTCAAACTTTACGTCTGCATCGCAATGGAAATCGAAGTAACCAATTCTGTCTTTGTTTTGCCAGTCAGCATCCCATTGACCGGGTGTACCACGTCTCCCAACATAACGTCTAATGCGTTTATACCGAAAATCTGGCTTTCATTGGGGTGCCCTGCGTCGTTATGTTTGGTCGGTGTGTTGGTATGGAGGCTGCCAGTGTCACGTCACAACCTAGCGGTCCGCAGCCGTGTTTTGCATAATGGCAGTCGTCAGATACGGTACTCCAAAGCGCTTGACGGGGATCAAGCACATCTGCCCTCTCATCTTTTCATTCGTGGGTGACGGGACGCTGCTCTGTTTCCTGCATACCATATCCACATTATTATCATCGTTCCTTTGATGCAGACTATTCTTTTGATGACATGAGGTTCGCTGTGCTCATCTGGCAATAGACAAGTTGATGGCTAACACTATTTCCACCTGATCCAGCAATCCTAATCGTCAGCACCATTGTCAATAAGAGTTATCGAGGCTTAGGACGAACTTGCCCATGCCGTATGTAACAGTTTTCTTCATGCATTGTATGGCGACCCAATCCGTTCCGTTCATATCCTAATAAAACAGGTGGATAGTTTCCATATATTCTTTGAATGCAGGTAACCTGCGGCACCTGACACTAGCTTGAATCTTCGCTAACGATCCCCCTGGAAGGCATTGCGCCTGGTTCTCAATCTGCGTGAGGCGGCCAGCGGCGCCAACATCGGCTCTACAACTCTAGTGGCGTGCCAGTGCTAAATTCTGTTAGGGAATGCCCAGGAAGGGAGAGCTTCTTGTGAAACTATGGCCGTGCATCTGATAGATATGCGTTGAGCTGTGCGTGTTGATCCAGCGCTGCTCTTCCAGTATGGCTAGTGCTGTCGTATGCAGAAGCTGAAATTGTTCTGTTCGAAAATCAGTTGAACGGTGCTTGCTTGAACGCCGATGGAAACAACTGCGCTATTTTGAGTTTCCCTTTGTTTCACAGCCTGATGGAAGCCACATGGAATGATACTGTGCAAGCTACCGAATCGTCTGGTCGGTAAGTGCGTGCCACATTTGCTCGTGGGCGAGCCGCTGACTGCCGCTGAGCACAATGATCTTGGAGGAAAAATACTGAGGGCTTTCTGCTAGATGCCACAAATGATGGCAAAGATGGGGCAACCTAAGATGTCCGGGCCGCTGACCCATGCTCCGACTTTACGCCTTGGTGCGTTTCACGGGTTTAACGAAATGTCCAGCAGTCCACACCCTTGCCTGTCCACCTTCGATCCCAAAAAGCTGTGCATCGTACCGTTCAAAAACCAGGTCTGAGACTTTGTGCATTTCTCGCTATGGCTCCTAACTTTGATGTCATGGCCTTTTCTGACATGCTCGTGGTGCTTGCTTCGGCGTTCATCGCGCTGGTGTTCGTGTCATCTCATTTCCGTCGCCCCCGTGCGGGAGAATATCCCCCTGTGGTGCCTAGCTTCCTCCCATACATTGGCACAGGCATTCAATACGTCCGTAACCCAAGTGAATTCCTTGGGAGCTGTCTGTAAGTGCACATTCGTCGAACCTGTGCTTACTAGAATGTCAATACTCTCTTGCATCCAGCAACGAATATGGCCCGGTCTTTAAAATGCTTATCGGGGGCCGACAGCTAACTGTCATCTCCTCCCCTGATGGCATCGCCGCAATCCTGCGAGACCAGCACAACATTTTCAAAAGTGATTCTATCCAAATCGAGCTGACCCAAGCGATCGCCGGACTCCAGGAGAACCTCCCGCGCTTGCAAGAGATCCTACACCACCAGTTAGCCCCCATCGTCGGACGGACCTTCGCCAAAACTTCAATTCGCAAGTTTACAACGGTGTACGTGGAACGTCTGCTGCAGGAGATGAGCATATTTGTCGCGCGTTCCGGGAAGGGGACGAAGGCGGTGTCATTGATGGAGATCGGGGGCAGATGTCGGCTTGCAGCGTTGTGCCATACACTTTTTGGCGCGTCGTTCACCGATGATATCTACGACGACATGAACTGTTTGGACGAGAGCATTTACTCGAGACTGCACATGGTTCCATTCAACTGGCGACGGTCCGCAGAGGCGCGCAAGCGCCTCATCATTCGATTCAGTACGTATATCGCTCAGGCGGAGGAAGGCATCGCATTGGGGGATCTCATGACGAGTGCAATCGACATCTTCAGAGCAAACAAGCTTGGGCCGGGAGAAAAGGCCGGGGTGTTGCTTGTCTTCCTCTGGGGGATGTACGCGAATACGACGCACATGACCTTTTGGGCACTGACAGAAATTCTCGCGGACGAGAAACTCGCCGCACAACTGCGTGCAGAGATTGATGATGTGCTACACACGCACGGGGATATCGGGAGGGGCGACGCTCCTTGTGTCACTGACCTTCCTGCTTTGCTTCGCGCGGACGCACACGCGCTCGATGGGCCCGGTCTCTCACTGCTCGACTCGGTCATCCAGGAGACGATACGATTGAGGGTAATAGCAACTCCTTCACGGCTGGTATCATGTGATACAGAATTGGTCGTGGACGCGGGAGCGGGTCGACGAGTGATGGTACGCAAGGGGGAATATGTGATGGCACATCTGATGGGCACGCATTGGGATGCGCGATGGTACGAACAGCCGGACAGGTTTGTGCCGGACAGGTTTGTCGCGGGCAGGTATGCGAGCGGAGTGGAAAGGGTTGATGGCGACAACTCGACACGGCAAAAGCGAACCAAACTGCCGTTCTTTGGTTGGGGAGGCGGACGTGACATTGTAGGTGACCGCCATGGTTATGGTCTGGGCAGTCGGGGAACTGAAATGTTCTCTTTTCACCGCAGTGCAAGGGACGGCACCTTGCCGCCTACGAGATGAAGCTCCTCATCGCGCTCTGCGTGCACCACCTACACATCTCGCACGCGGACTCTGGTAAACATGAGTTCGGCCCCAGTTTGACGGACCCGTTGCCCCCCAGGGCGAAAAAACAAAGTGTCGGTGTTCAGCAGGCAGAACATGATGTGATGGTGCGGCTGAACTTGGTAGGGGGAGGAAACTGAGCTGTTCATGGTATGTACCTAGGATAGGTGTCGACATGTAAAATAGCTATTGCCGGAATGTTCAATAGACGTACCTACAACCGAGAAAGTGCATGGAAGGCTGAGCATCATTCCAAATGGCTCTCTTCCAGAAAACGAGGCTGTAAGGTTGTTCCAAGAACGAGGCTACAAACGGCAAGCATGAGCTTATCCTTGAGCTTATCAATCCCATGAATACATAGCCCTCCGGGCGCCCCCGGACGCCACAGGAGGAAGCACTTTACTCGACACACACTGCTCCACGCAGATCCCCCCGCGATGGTGGGAGGACTTTTGACAACGCTGAGGGGTCCTGAAGAAACAGAGCCACGTTTCCCCTGTTAAAACGTTGACTAGCCTCCTCCAGAACACGGCCCCCTCGAATACTTTTTGTTTGATAATGATGAGTAACAACTGTAGCGCGACAAGCATTAACTCCAAAGTACTCGCGGTCCCGAAACCATCTCGAACCCCCCTGCGGCAGCTCCGCATGCGCGAAATATTGAAAATTAGCCATTGCATCCTTTGGTTGCTGTACCGTCTTCGCCATCAGCGGCTTTTGACACGAAGAGCACATCCGTATATCCGCAACATCATCTAAACGACTCATCCCGCGCGGGCAAAGAATGGCCCCACAGTATTTTGCTAGATCGTATGTCCGAGGAAGACACGCCGCCGGTAACCAGCTATTTCTTAACACCATAAGTATCTCTGTAGTTGGAAAAACATCAACAAGATCCCTGCACGAAACCATTTGTGCGCACACAGCACACACGTCCTCTGCGAGGTGCTGCACTGACATGTTTTTTTGCCAGTCACGGATGATGTCGAGTTCCTCGCTCATTGATGCTATTGGTGGATAACTATATCGTTCTCCTTGTACCTCCGTTACTGTTTGTCGTCATCGTACCTGCGTATCCCCCCTTTGAATAGCTCTGACATCTGCAAGAACGCAAAAACACGCCGTGGTGTTCCGCAATAGATTTGATAGCTTTCAACGTCAAGTAGGGGTACTGTTCCACGAACTCGCGAACAGAGCTTGCACGACAGACTAACAACGGTCCGCTAGGGTACACGGACCCCACACTAGGATCACTGCGCACCGTAATGCGCTCCAACGTATACTCTCGCCATATAAACTCGTAACTCATAGCAGCATCATCGCTGACACCAGCGACGTCTATACGTGACACAAGTGACGCACGCCACTGTCCATGACACGTTACAAAATACGCCTGCAAGTTGTTTGCACGACGTTCCGAGGTGTGACGAACAAACCCCAACATTCCAATCTCCCCAACCCCTCCCCAGCACGTGACCGGACCTAACGGTCCCGTTAAGTCCGGTATGATCGTGGACGACAAAGAGTTTACAGACCTGGGCCTAACGGTGTCCAGGAATATGAACGACGACAAGGCGACCGCGACGCCCCCGGTCAGCTCCCCAAATTACGGTGATACAGTACTATCAATACGACATGCAGAGCGGCCTCTACAGCCAGCAACACCACAATTACAGCAGTTTGCGTAAGTGACTTACTGCCAACAGCTCAATCGATAGTCTACATAGCATGCAAACACTTCGCTGTGGTAACGATAAGGAGTAACAAACACGAAAAGGGCGTTGCAATAGCTCGAAGCCAGGCAGATGTAGCCACATGGGAGAATGTTTGTCCGAATCACGAGCAGAAAAACAATTGAATTCTAGTATGCTTAATATTTAGTTTGAGTACTAACTGCACAACGAAAATAGGACAGATACCATTGCTACTCACTAGCAGTGCGCATGGGACTGACCCGCTCCATCAGAAGTGGTTTGGTCCTCGCTCTGAGCAGCTGACAATGACTGTGAGTGGGGAAGACAAGAGAAATCTCTGAACTGCCTACGCAGGGATAAGATCTGTTCATAATGACCAGACTCCACTGCATTCTCTAAGGCTTGCACAATATCTGGGTTTCTCTTGATCAGCTTCAGACACCGATGACCGCACAACATCCGGCTTCTTGCATCGGGCGGGCACCAAGAGTAAGCAGTGAAAGACTGGGGGGCAGCCGGTCATAAATACAGCAGATAAGATGCAACACCGCGGAATATTCGACTCATCACATGTATTCCTCTTCGTCCATGTCGTCCAAGAGCCAGTGCGCTGCGATCTGAGCCCGTTCCTCCTCCGACTCAGCCGCCGCCAATCCATTCTCCTTCAGCTTTTTGCTGAGTGCCATGGCCTCTCCGTAGTGTTCGGCGGGCATCCAGCCCTCCGGTCCGGAGCCAATCACAACCCGGCACACTTCTAGACACTCGTCCGCTTCTCTCTGTTCTGCACCCAGCTTCATCGTCTCGCGTACGTCGTCGGGGTCGAACACAACAGGACACTGGCAGGCCTCCCCCCGCGAGCGTCTTCCACCTCTCTGTTGCTTGTATCAGCGCAATCCTTCAGCTCGAGAGTTTCGCCCTCCCATGGGTCACTAGCATGGGAGAACAGACGGTGGCGGAGCATGCCCATGGGGTCCGTTAACCCCGCGTAATGAAGTTCGTTGTACTCCTCCGTGCTTTTGACGTAGTGGTAATGGACGAGGCGGCGACGGTAGAGTTCCACCTCTTCGCTTTGGTGGGTTTCGTCCAAGTCATCCAACTTCTCCGGCAACGAAGGCCGCGTCATAGATTGCGAGCCAATATCATCGTAGTTCTGTAGCTGTTGGGGTATACCGGTAAGAAGAAACAGGGGTAGGATCGAGGTGTGTTGCCAGTCGATCAGGCCGACGATGTGCAAGTTAGAGTCCGGCGACCTAGAAAACGATGATATTGCTCGGCTGGAGGTCGGGATGGCGGATGCGGAAAGGACTGAGGGCCGGGTTCCTGGGGATGAGTGAGGGCGCGATGAGAAGATAGCGGTCTAGGTTCTCGATGTGATCTGACGGCTGGCTGCTCCTGGTACTTATAAGCCTCTCTCCTTATGCGCTGGAACGGCAACAGGGGTCGACCAAACCGCCGTAAATAAGCTAGTTCCTTTTCGGCCCCTCTTAAAAGGGCTGCTTCGGCACTTTCGTCTGTAGTTCTCAGTTAGTTTAAGGGAGTAATAATGAAAAAGGTAGTGAGCAGCCTACATGGACCTCGATCTGCGTCGAGCTGTGATCTCCTGCCATACCATAGACGCAGACTTGTATCTGGGCCGACGCAGAAAGACTTGTTTTCTAGTGTAATGCCCGACCTAGTAGACTAAAAGGCGCTCCTGGCCGCATTCTCCAAGTCTTCAGTGTAGTAAAGGCTTCCACCAGCGGGGAAAGCAATCGACATCATCTTTTGACTCGAGTTCAGCAAGTTGGTGTGAGATTGAAATGATTTCCCCTTCTCCTAGGCCAAACCATATGTCACTTAAATTGGTGCCTTGTACGAATTCCATGAAAATATACTCGGTCCCTGCCGCGTTGTTCGGCGTAGGTGAGTATCCGTAAACCTCAGGTGGAGGCAGCCCAGAGGAACGGAGGAAAGCCATAGTAGCCACCTCACTGGCGACAGCAAAGTACTTGGGAATCGTAGCCGGGTACGGGATACGTGCCACCGTTTGGAAGCCACAGCGCATGGTAATGAGGAAGGTGCGGTTAAACCCACCCTCGGCTAGTTTCTCCATATGCATAATAGCATCAGGACTCCGATTGACGGCCTCCGCTGCGAGTCGACATAGCTCATCGACCTTGAAGACACGTCTGCACTCTGCGTGGCGAAGGCCATCGTTGAAGCTGAACATATGGTAGACATACACCCCATAGAATAACATATATGAGACTTACATCCACCGCCCTGACGTATATTCAAAGAATTCGCTAGGAGGATGCGCCATGATAGAGAACTCGCGACGTGGCGGCCCACGGGTCGGGGTTGCAATGGAGTAGGGAACGCGAAATGAACGCGGTAAGGAGCGAGGACGGTGCAGAGACGGCAAGACTGAAGCTGCCCCGGGGAAGTCGAAGACCACCGGCCTCGCACTCGCAAAACGGGACATGCCAATATTATGCATTGCAACTTGTCTTTCACCCCACTAGCTGGAGATATTTTCAATTCTGAGGTGCATTCGGCGAGACTGGGGAGTGGCGGCAGTTTCGAAGTGTTTCTCTCACGGCAAACGCTTTCCCAAATCCCCTGTAACGATGGTCCATATTACGATTCAGAAACGACCATACAACGAGGCTGTCGTTACGCAGCGCAGGTTCTTCAAGAAAACCGCTCGAGGAAAGGTTATCAAAAGTGCGTCTGCCACTCTGTAGCTTGTCCAGCATGAGTTGAATCCCATACAGTCATACGAGAGCGGTATCTCAGAGACGATATCTATTGCGGCATCATTGGCTGCAGGCTGTGTGCAAATGGGACTACTGCAGTACTTCCTACCTCGGGGGATACGACCCACAAGGACTTTCCTTGCGGTCATTTTATCCTACCTGACACCAACATATTCTTGACGCAGGCTCGTGTCCTCACCGTTGCGCCTTTTATTGCACCTGAATCCATACAGATGGACTTGTTCGAATCGAACCAATTTGCGTTTCCAGTCATCCTCCTCCAGACTGTTATGGAGGAGGTCCGTCATCGGTCTCTTCCCCTCTACAACCGGCTGAAAGCTCTAGTCAAATCAGACGACAAGCAAGTGTGGGTGTTCTACAATGAATTCAGGTGGTACGCATTTTTTCTTTAGCCGTTTGTTCCCCAGATGAACTTGCCTTCAACTTGGCAGTGAGACTGCCATCATACGTGATCAAGACGAGACGCCAAATGACCGTAACGACCGAAGTTAGTCACCACAGTACCTCGTTCATTTGGCAGCTCAGATTCACACCATCTATACAGGCATTCGTGAAGGTGCTAAGTGGTATAACTCTCACATCCAGCTAGCACGTCCACCAAAAGGACAGAAACCGCCCAAGGTTCCCCAAGTAGTCCTACTTACTGAAGATGCTGGTAATCGCGGAAAAGCATTATCCGCGAACATTCCATGCATGTCGAGTACGTCGCCAGGAGATAAATGCCACATCCCTTCTTGTCTTACCCCTTGTTACTAGTTCGCCAATATGCAGAAGGCACCAGAAATCCAGCACAACTTCTCGATCTGCTTGCTTCCGCGAGATCAGAGGAGATAGAACCCACAAAAGCTACTGGGGCACGCACCGTTCTCTATGCAGAAGTAAGTCAGGAGTAATTGCCCACGGATCGCCGTTGATGCCATTCCCCTAGCATTTACCTAGTACGGCACTACTTGCTGGAGTGAACGCTGGTCAAATTCATCAAGGCTACTTTAACGCCAACTCCTATAACTACCTCGAGGTACTTAGTCGCAGTACATCTTATCCATCTACTTCACGTTCTCCATTCTAGGGAACCGTCCCTGTTCCAGCCTTCGCGAAGCCCGTGCTCCTCGTTGGACGCGAGAATATGAACCGCGCCGTGCATGGCGATATTGTAGCCGTAGAAATATTTCCCGAGAGCGAGTGGAAATCCCCAGGAGATGAGGTCGTCGATGCTGAGTGTATGCCATGGATCGCATATGTCTGCATCTCGCTGACATCTCACTACAGCGACGCTCAAGAATGATGACGTGGAATCTGGTGATGAAATCGACGAAAATGACACTCTTGTTCAGGCACGAGAATCACGCGCCATTCGAAAGAGCGTGCAGGCTCCAGCAGAAAAACAACCCACGGGACGCGTCGTGGGTATCGTGAAACGCAATTGGCGTGCGTACGTCGTCTCCATTTGTTGGCTTGGCCCTGGTGTTAATTCGTTCTGTGTCTGGAATTTATTCGACCGTTCCTTGGGATGCTGGAATACGTAGATATGTGTGTCATATCGACGCCTCTTCCCTTACGTCGTCGTCCACATCCTCACTGGCCCTTCAAACTATCTTTGCTTCTCCGGTCTCTCGTCTGCTTCCCCGTATCCGCATCCGAACACGTCAGGCACCCTCCCTAGTAGGCCAGAAAATCCTCGTCGCGCCTGACCGATGGGACCGCACGTCTCGCTATCCCGACGGCCACTTTGTTAGAGCACTTGGTAAAGTTGAGAGTAAAGAAGCAGAACAGGAGTCACTTTTGCTTGAGTTCGACGTACCGTATCGACCATTCGGCAAGGCAATATTGGATTGCTTGCCTGCAGAGGGTGATGCCTGGATCGTTCCGCCAAAGAGCAGTGGCGGCCCAGTGTGGAGGGACAGAGAAGATTTGAGGGAGCTCATCGTGTGTAGTATTGATCCACCTGGTATGTGTGCTGCGCAATTCTTAACAGCGCGCTTCTGAGGCGGTTCATAGGATGCCAGGACATCGACGACGCTTTGCATGCGCGACGGTTGCCGAACGGGAATATTGAGGCCGGCGTGCGTGCGTGTATTTCATTTTGATAACCCTACCCACATCTGATGACTCTTCTGAACAACGATATGGTTTGTACGGTTCATTTTCATGCACGCACATTGAATTCCATTTAGACATTGCGGACGTTTCCCACTTCGTGCACCCTGACACACCGATGGATACGGAAGCTGCCTCTCGAGGTACAACTGTATACCTTGCGGACAAGCGCGTCGACATGTTGCCATCGCTATTAGGAACGAATTTGTGTTCGCTTCGTGCTGGCGTAGAGAGACTCGCCTTCAGCGTGATCTGGGTGAGTATATGCATGTTCTAGGTACTCGGCCATGCTGTCGCCCTTCCCCTTGAACGATGGAAGCCCAAATGACTGATAGACACTGCCATTTCAGGAGCTGACAGACGATGCTAACATCGTTAACGTTCGGTTCACGAAATCTGTCATATCTTCTAAGGCGGCGCTGGAGTACTCGGAAGCCCAGATGCGTCTGGACGATTCGTGAGCCTGCCTGGACCCTCGTTTTCATCTCTCTGAGTTCTAACGGGACTTGACACCGTTGCTACAGTTCTCTCACAGATCCCCTTACCTCATCTATACGTCTGCTCAACTCCCTCGCCAAAAAACTGAAAGCGAAACGCATGGCAGCTGGTGCGCTGGACCTCGCCTCACCGGAGGTACGGATAAATCTGGCATCACCTGAATCATCCGATCCCCTCGTTGCTCCATCTAACTCGCCAAACGCCGCTACATCGACCAATTCAAAGGACAAGAAGAATGGAGAGACGATTGGTGTCATGCAGAAAGCTCTCCTTGCGACGAACAGCCTTGTTGAGGAGTTCATGCTTCTCGCTAACATTAGTGTTGCTATGCGCATAAATGAGGCATTCCCGCAGACGGCGGTCTTACGGTGCGTACTGATCCCTACTCGAGAGTGAAATGCATTCACTGACATGATGGAAGGCGTCACGTGGCCCCTCCCAAAACGAATTTCGAAAAATTGCAAGATATGTTGATGAAACGCAAGGGTTTCACTCTAGACGTGTCTAGTTCGGGTGCGCTTGCCGCCTCCTTGGACAGATGTGTGGTATGTCGCGTTCTTACCATCACCTATCATCCACACACCCATTCCGACCACCCATTTTTGTGGTGCTCAATAATTCTCACATGCTTCCAGGATCCTGAGATGCCAGCATTCAACACCCTTGTACGAATTATGGCGACGAGGTGCATGACATCTGCAGAGTATTTCTGTGCTGGAAGCGTCTCTCGGGACACTTTCGGGCATTATGGGCTCGCAAGTCCGATATACACGCACTTCACGAGTCCCATTCGGAGGTACGCAGGTAAGTGACCTATCCTAATCCTTCCATGTCTCAAGTGCACTGCTTATCCTGGTTCCCTTCAGACGTCCTCGCGCACCGCCAGCTCGCGGCGGCAATTGCACATACACCGCTCCATCCTTCTTTCCATTCTAAAGTCCATATAGAACGTATCATGGACGTCCTTAATCGGCGACATCGCATGGCGCAAATGGCAGGTCGCGCGAGCGTTGAGTTCTACGTTGGCCTGGCGCTGCGCGAGCGTGGGGAGGTTCTTGCAAAGACTGGTAACGTCGGGGGAGTCGCCGAGGAAGCATTCGTCGTCCGGACATTTAGGAATGGGCTCGGTGTGTTCGTATTCGAGTCAGTTCTTGTTCTTTGCTTCGCTGGATTTCCTGCTCAATGCATACTATAGATTGGGCTTGGAAGGTCTCGTCATGTTCAAACAGGACATTCGTTTCGACGCGGAGAACTACACCGTTACCCTTCCATCCCAGACGGCCGGACGAGAGGTTACGATCGCCCTTTTCGATAAAGTCAAGGTGAGGATTGACGTGGAGAAAGATAAAAATACGCAGCGGGGACGTGTTAAGATGACACTCATAAGCCCCGTGGATTGCAGTGGATTGTAACGTAGGCAATATGTTTCTTGGACACATGAGATGCGTGGGTCACACTGTAGTGGGAACAAGTATTAAATCTCCTTCAAGTTTGCCTGTCATAATCCTCGAGCGCCATTGCTGCACTAGTTTTTTTTACAGAAGTACAAGCAGTATACTGTGATAGAATGCATCGATGACGGTACGGGTGCCTGTAGTGGTTATGTTAGGTAGTTTCTTTGCACTCTTTGAACCTGCTCGCCGTGGTGTCGTGTTGTCGGAATCGACGACTTGAGTTGCGAGGACATGTGTACATATGTAACTGGGATTCTCAAGATCTTGGCGTACTAGCGCTGCATGGAGTTGGAAGGAACAACCCACCGTCTCGACACGATCGTCACTACTGAAGTACTGTCATCTTTTACAGATTCGACTCGCACGTAGTTGCAACTGATGCAGGTGCGCTGGAGTCTTCTGGACAATGTACACAAGCAAACCATGCTGTAGACCTCGACGCCTTCGGTCTACAACGCGTCCATTACACCGAGCAATTTGCCATGGGACACTTACAACTACTGCAATGCACCTCATGTCAACCCTGATCACTACTCGTTGCCAAACGAATCCGGTGCACGACTCCGGTTCGTTGTAGTGATCATGCGGCACCATAAGGTCGGGGCCTTGCTGCTACTACTTGTCAATCATTCCCATCGACGTTACAGCGCACCCCAGATAACCTTTACCCTTCCGAACGCACTCTCAACCCCATCACCGGATGGGACTGCTCTAGCATCATATCACAGTCTTACGCTGGCGGGACGGCTCAAATATTTACCGAAACAAGCACACCTATTCTCCACCCTTTTGCAGATCGCATATGGGCAGGTACGTGCGACTCCGGACAGCTCACTCGCGAGGGGCTTGACGATGCCATAAAACATGGACGGGTACGTCTATGAGGGTACGAGCTGCCACAGCGCTTATATCATCGGCCTGTGTGAGCAGGATTTTTGGGGAGTATACCATGACAGACTCGGGTTTTTGGAGCACGTGAACGAGAAGGAGATATATGTTCGAACGTCGACGGAGCCGAGGACGCAGCAAGTAGCTGGTGCGATGCTCTATGGTATGGATCCCAACACTGCGAGTAAACAATGGCCTGTGTATATGCAGCCCGATATCGTGCGTGGTCATGCATCTGATTTGCGTGGTTCCCTTGTTCCTGGGCCAAGATGTGACGTTTTCCGATTAGATCGACTCACTCGTGCCGAACTATGCGTGCCCCGTTGCTGGTCAACTCCGCGCTGAGGCGCAAGCCATGTCGTCCTGGATGGACCACCTCGTGCAACACGAATCTCTCCAGCGGAGGCTAGATGAAACGTTGGGCACAACTGGGCTAGATGCGTGGAATTCTTGGTGTAGGTACCACCTCGGTTTCATGTTCCTTGTGTCCATTCTCTTCACGCCTGCATATGTTCGGACAGATGATCACTTCTTTGACACCTTCACGGCCCGCACGTGCCATGGACACCCCCTCCCGTGTAATGTAAGTGGTGCTTGTGTCAGTCAAGAAGACGCGAAGATGGTATATTCGATTGGGGATTGGGAATACAAGTGTGTGGACTGTTTCATTTGGAATCGCCTCAGATTTTACGTCTAACGGACCGCCAAACCCCTCCGCTCGCGCCGTCGGGGTTCGTTCGTGCCACAGTTATATTTTTAACGATGCACCCCAAGCTAGCCAATATGTCAAACTCACGTTTGGTGTTTTCTTTGCCGAGCTCGCAGATACTTTGCGGCACGTGTCCACTCGGAACACTTCTTATAACGGAGGTGAGGAGAACCTGAGGGACAATAATGCACATATTGGTATAACAAGCCATGTTGTCGGGGTACAAGGGCGACCGAAGCACAAGCTGCACATGTATGTCGGACATGACGGCTCGATGGTGCGTCTCGCTGCTGGGCTCGGCCTTGGTCGTGCGAACGGTCTGCGATGGCCAGCCATGGGCAGCGAAATTGTGATGGAGGTGAATTCCGTGTTCCCCATTCTCACAATTCCTATTCATCTCAGTTTGACGGGTGGCGGATACGTGGCCACCATTGGATGTGACTGAGACCTATGACCTAGCGAGATTTTGCTAACCATATTTCCAATCGTTGTGACAGGTTTGGCATACTTCCGACGAAATAGCATATATGCGCATCTTGCGTGAAGGCTCTCCAGCCCCGCCTCCACTTGACTGGATCCTTCTCAGTGAATTTATTCAGTTGCTGGAGGACTTGGTGCCGGAGAGTCTTGGCGTTTTGTGTCGGTAAAAATGTAGGCTGCAACATATTACCACGTCCAAGGAAGAATCATACATTTCTTGACCTTTATATTGGGCCACATCCATACAGTGACTCGAAAAACTGCCTGGATGTTTGCCACTTTTTTCACAGATTGGCCTGTAACTGTTGATCTGTAAGTCATGAAAAAAAACAGGAGTAGATTGCTAGCGATCATGTGACCATGTTTGCCCCAGGTTATGGTTGTGTGACTTGATACTTCACAATTAAATTTACAATACCAGCTATGCATCCGGACAGTTCTTTTGCAGGTATTCACAACAGTTAGCAAAAATGTCTGCCATGGCACAAATACTACTGGTGAAGGTCTGTTGCTATGCAAGTACTGTACACTCTCAGGGACAAAACTCGATGTCAGCACAATCTCCCAGGGAATGAGTACAAACAAATCCAAGCTTGTTGCGTGGTGAACTGTCACTAACCTACAAGTAGAGATAGTATATGTAAATGTGGCTGTAACGACAGACAGCAAAACGTCAGTCAGAGATACCTATTATCAGTGTAGAATGTCCAGGAGCACAGCGCCACAGTACGAGTGAGTCAAGGTTAATGGAAACCGCCGTCAAGATCATTACCACAACGTCCAGACTCCGCTAAGAACAGCTGCACCCATCATGACGAGCACACCCCAGATGCCTGGTTCATTTCCACAAAGAAGTCCATGGGCACCGTTGGATGCAGGCCCCAGTGTTGTCGCAAATACTTTGAGAGGATCTGGTGTGCCGGAGACGGTGACCGTCGGAACCGAGGGATCCGGACTTGGGTTAGAAGATGACGAAGAGTTGGAAACGGTGAAGCGGGAGGAAATCCCAAATGTCACTCCATCGGTGGAGTTAAGACAGAGTAGGAAGTAGTCGTCGCCAGCAGGGACGTCCTGAAGTAGGATGTTGAGTGTAGAATACGTAGTAGGCACTGCAGAACCAAGGACACCGTCCAAGTTAGCGGGAAAAGCCAGTAAAGGTTTTTAGGCAATGCCGTACCGCTCTTGGCCACCAGGTAAAGGCCATCCTCGTACAGTCGCATGAGCTCTACGTCGAATGTGTCTACTCCATCCTGGAGACCCTTTGTCCATGTAACGGGATACGGTGAGCCAACAGCCCATGAGGTCGACGCGCCAGGTTGATTGATGATGAAATCTAACAGATCGTCAGTGTCGACGCAATATTTCAATTAAAAGAACTGTGATGATGTACATGCGTGGACGGAAGCGAGGTAAGAGAGGAACCCGAAAAGCACGATGATAAAAGCTGGTTGACTTGCGCGGTTCGGCGACCTGCGACGGGGGTAAAACATCGTGAGGGTTCCGTTCTTCACCACCTCCCCGATAGTGCGAAGATTGCAGAAAAGAAAAAAACGTCTGGGACGGCGGAATAGTGAAAGACTTGGGAAAAGGTGTGGCAGTGCCTCGTGTGCCTTGTCCTCACTCACACAGCCCCGGGCTATGTCATGTTCTTACGGCGTCGTAACTCTGGTTCCTGTTCGAACGAAATAAAGAAGCCTCGCCCGCCGTCTGCCAGCACTGCAGCTCAAGACTATCGCACCTGTCATATTGGTATCAAACCTCAGCCAATGCGAGCCTGGGTCTCTCCGCTGTAGCAGATTGTGCACGAAGGCGCCATGCTGGTTCACGTGGTATACAGTCTCAGCAGGCAAGATTCAAATATTCAAGGTCCAAGTCTGCATTCGTGTCTAGGTATTACAGTAACGTTTTTTAGGTGTTCTCGGTGGGAATTACGAAATTTTCTCGCTCCAGGGGCTGCCGTGGGCAGCATATGTTCCGCGTCTCACTGACATCACATTACAGCGACGCTCAAGAATGATGATGTGGATTCTGGAGATGAAACCGACGACAATGTCACTCGTTTAGGTGCGAGAATAACGAGAGTCTCTAATAGAGAAACAACCTGCGTATCTACATGTGGTCTTATAGTTGAAGAGATTCGGTCTGTTGACATTCATGGAATCATGGGATAGCACACCTTTTCCTCCTCTCCTGCCCAGTCGAAGTCTACCAGCATAACCTGCTTTGTCTGCAACGCCATGATGTTGGTGTCGCGAATATTACCGTGAACTTATCTTTTTTCTATGCAACTCAGCAAAGACGAAACTGAAGTATTCGAAAACTCAAGGAGTTGGTTTAGCACGATGAAGTTCTACAAAATCTGGTAGTGTGTCCATCACCACCATGTACCAATCTCCGTCTTGTGGTTCAAAACTGAAGAGAGCTAGTGCACACCCCAACGAGGCACAGAACTGAAGCACTGAATATTCTCGATCATAAGCTCGCGTAGACCGGATAACAAATAATATACCGACCCATGGTTGCCGATCAGCCTTCCATTTTTCGTTCGTCTTGCTCGTCACCTTTCCAATTACCCTGTGGGTTAGGACCTGCTCGGACACTAGAGGGTACGTGCCTTGACTGATGTGTCAAACCGTGCGTGGACTGATCCATCAGGAAGATGAAGTTACTAGATGTGAAAACAGTTCTCGACAGAGAAAAGAACATCCAAAAGCCCGAATCTAATTCTGAATATGAGGTCATGAAGTACCGAGATGACGAAACAACAAAATATGCCATACTGTCCCATCGGTGGGGAATCGAGGTTGACTACGAAGAGATGACTGGACTCATGAAGATGGAGGGGCGGAAGAGGGACGAAGTCAGGCAACGCGACGGCTACCAGAAGATTATCAAGAGTTGCGAGCAGGCCATGAAGGACGGCTATGAGTGGTTGTGGATCGATACATGCTGCATCGACAAGCGGAGCAGTTCGGAGTTGTCAGAGGCCATTAATTCAATGTACCGATGGTACCGAAACGCACACGTGTGCCATGCATACCTCCACGACGTTGATGAGTCGACCTTTCCTACGAGACCAGCTAACAAGTTCAGCAAGTCCAACGGTTGGCCTGAATGGTTCATGCGAGGTTGGACACTGCAGGAGCTCGTCGCGCCGAAGCAACTCGAATTTTTCAACAAAAATTGGGTGCGTATCGGCAACAAACGTCGCCTGGCCCCCATGTTGGAGGACATCACACGAATTCCGATTGAAGTTTTGAGAGATGGTCTGGGCGGCGCGAAGAATCTCGGTGTCGCACAAATTATGTCGTGGGCAGCAGACCGGAAGACGACGCGCGTGGAAGATCGGGCCTATTCCTTGCTGGGTCTATTCGACGTCAGCATGCCAATGTTGTATGGCGAGGGCAAAAAGGCGTTCCACCGACTTCAGCTGGAAATTATCCGCACATCCAGCGATCAAAGCATATTCGCATGGGATCCACGGACGCCACGACCAGGCAGTGTCCTGGCTGATGATCCAAGTGACTTTCGGGATTGTCGTCACATCGAGCCACTTGGACCCGGCGAGTTCGCCGACAGACTGGTGGAATACATCGAAGACAATGAACTTGGCAAGCAGCATACATCCCGCAAGTTCTCAATCAACCCCATACATCGGCATAGACTCGCACAGCTGAGGCTGCGTGCCCGCACGCTTAGCCAACAACTTCGCACATTTTCGGTCAGCAATGCGGGTATTCAAGTGTGGCTGCCCGTCGTGCCCTACGACGACTCTCCCTCTCACTGCAGGGCCATATTGGCCTGCAGCCGTATTAAAGGTTACCATCCTCATGGTCTGATTACCATCGATTTGGCGTCTTCTGGATCCAGCTTTGACAGGATTTTTGACAGTACAGGGGTTCACAAGACTTATCCTGAATTCAGGACACTCCATCTTACTCATCATCAGGATGTCAATCACATACACCATCATTTCACACTCGATGACAAGAATGCCATGTACTATGGATTCACTCACTGTGGCACCTTCCCGCGCGAGTCTGTAGGCAATATGGTCACACTCTCATCCCTTACAGATGATCTCGTCATCGTAGTTTATGCTAACGACGATGCAAGATATCGCTTTGCCGTTGCTCTCGGTTACTACCTCGGCCAAGGATGGGTGCACATCGTATGTGACGAACGCCTGGAAAAACAAGAGGTCAACGGGACACCATGGCTGGACTTCGCCAAGTTAACATACGATCGGATGTGGAAAGCACGTGCAGAGCTTGCCCAAAGTATGCCCAATCCCATTGAAGTGTATGCCACATACGATACCAACACTGTCATCAAGCATGCCCACCTTCCCCGATCAATATGGGCCGCAAGGGTGCTGTGGGGTAGGTGGGGAACAGACAAATTTCAAGTAACGGTTGACGTTGACCAATGTGCTGGTTGCTGTCATGGGCCACATGGATGGACGACCACGTCTGTTCGTAGATTTTCCTTTATGCGTGTGAAATTAATGACTGTATTGCCACAGGACGACTGGGATGGCCTTGATGTGCCAGGGCTTATGAGCGTGGTTTCCCATTCCCATAGGTTGAAACTGGATGGGTGGTGGGTGTGGCTTGACAAGCATGCTGGCCAAAAGATTGTGGTAAGTCGTGACATGCATCTTCATGTCTGTCTCAAGGCTGATATAAACAGCTAGGTGATTATGGCGACTATTCCGATGGCAATTTCAAATGTGATGGCAATATATTTGAGGATATGCGGGCACTTGGCATCGATTCCATGGATCCGGTTTATCACCCAGTGGTCTCCCGTGTATCTGGTGACCAGTTTTATTGGCATGAATTTCGAGATCAGAATGACCATGACTTGCCATATGACGACGACCGCAAAGAGCTGGAGCTGAATCGACTGAAGGGTTACTCCCTTCCTGCCAATCAACATTTCGTGCTGCTACTGAAGGCCTACTGTACCCGCCTTGCAGGCAAATATTTAGTGATTACAATCATACAACACTCCGACGTCCCCCTCAGAATTGGGTGTAGGGCAAAACGAAGGGATTCGGGAGGCGGTGCGCTTTCTGAAAATGATTGTGTCCTACACACACTGACTTGGCTTGTCAGAGTTGGCACCGAACAATGTCAACCATTTCGCAGACCTGACCCCCTTTTACACTGTCGCGAGCCCGCAGGCTTGGAGAAGAGATCCTGCCTGCACACGGAGAAGGGAACTGTTCAAAACTATCCGGTACGTCCATTATAATTGATTTCAGCGTCACTGATGTTATGTTTTGGAATGTAGGGAACATTTCTACACTCTGGTGAATATGATACCTCCTCTTACCATCCTTGTGGTTTGTCTGGTTGACATGATAAGTAGTGTCAACCTGCACGAACTGAAGCTCGCAACAAGTCTGCCGTGCGTTGGACAACCATATGAAATCGACAACTCTTCACTTACGATGGCAACAGAATAAACAGAAGACAACGGGGGCGATCAAGTTCTTTTCAGAAATATTTGGTCTCAAATGCCTGAGAAACTACGTGCGTATTTAGCCTTTCAATGCCTTTCCCCCTTCACCCCCTCCCCACTGAAATATAGGTCGGCGAGATTACATTTTTCAAAGGGCTTCACTCAATGATGGCGACCAAGCCATGCAACGAAGTTTCCGTAGGCACTGCAGAAGGACCATCTGTCACATCAGGCACGTTTTCTCATAAGCTTGCATTGTAGCTTCTAAAGACATGTCCGATGGGCTAATAGTGCCCCCGTCAAAGTTGCCGTTCGTCAGTTGGGGTATGACACATAATCTATTCAAACGAAAGTTCCCATTCCAGGTCACACGGGATCCGCGCCTTGAAGTCTTGTTACCTCTACTGCGCAAACGGTGCCAAGGTCTTGACCCATTTGATGACATTTCGCATCAGCGTGATGAGGAGCAGAAAACGGAGCACGAGGTAAAGTCCCTATCGCAAACTCTTAGTGCTGGCGTAAGAGTTCAATGCTCCGGTAAATAATAGTAGCGGCTAACTCTAGTCACAAAAAGCTACTCGAGCACATCAGTACTACTTTCAACAACGCAGCCCTTCCAGATGAGCACCAGTAGGTACTTTCTTCACCTCCAGCCGCTTCCTCTTTCCACTATTTATTGTGTCCCAGTTTAATAGGTCGAGTTGATTACGACAGGTCAGCAACGCAACCACCAACGTTCGTTAGTCCACGCCCTGAACCCTGTGTGTAGGCAATTCAATGCGCATCCTATGGTGCAAGAGATCAAAGAGCTCCAAGTGAAACTTGACGCGACGGATGACGAAGACGAACAGCGAGCACTGGAGGAGGACGTGACAGGAAAGGCAAGGATCTTATCGTGTTATTACCTTCTACGCTAATGGTCCGCTTGTCAAAAGATCCTGTGGCTCTGCTGGTGTGGAATCTGTGCGGAAGTGGACCAGCTGTTACCAGAGGCACGCTACATACATAACTCTCTTCATAGATGTTATTTGACAAGCTTTAGGTTGTTGATTACTGTCGAAGAGAAGGATGTATGATTGTAAGTGGCATCGCAAACACCGACGTCATCTAATCACTGTCACCAGGGTTTGTCTGAGGTTGGTTGCATTATTGCGGGAACGCGTACAGAGCCGAATGATGATCGAGCTCATTTGCAACGGTAGGCGAGGTCATTCAGCGCATGTAAATTGCTGAGTATCCTTTGTTCCAGGATCATGCTGGATGCAGGAGCAGGCACATCGAAATATCAGTTATTGCTTACCGCTCGGGCTGCGGAACAAGTTAAGTGGTCAAGTACGGCTATTTTGAGGAACACTCCTCTCGGCACCCAGGAGACCATTCTGGGTACAAGCTCTCAAATACATTCTACATTGGCGGTTTAGCAAGGATGGCATTGGCCGGCATGTCCTTAAGTGCTGGACACATTCAACTCCTCGAACGGTAGATAATATCAGATTGATTCCTGGCGTAACTTTGTCCGGGAAAGAGCTCGAGATTGGCACTCGAGGTCAAGGGACAACCGCAAGCACATTGGCTGTAAAATGATCGACCGTGTATCTAGTGTATGCCCAAATTTTTATGTACCATTGCTGAGCGACGTGGTTTGTGATTCTTTATCTCGTGTTCGTCCCCACCTTAAGCACTCCGTTTCGGTAGTAACAAGGGTCTGTTAGACATAGTTTTGGTGACATAAACATTACATCTATGCAATAGGGTCGTTCGGTGTTCGCAAAGGGAAAGAAGAGAGACTGCGCTGCTGTTGGATACAGGGCACTCCAACGCTGAAGTCACGCGGTACAATTCAATATCAACATAAGATGACGACTGAAGTGGGATCGCCTCGCAGGGCCCAATGCCAAGCTGTGATAACGTGCTAGGGACCCCGAAGGGGAAGACGGTTGCAAAGCGCCGACAAGGAGAGGCTAGGGAGTGGTGGTGGGGTGAGGCGCAGGGCGTGACACGTTTGAAGTTTGTGCCAACTGGTGTACTCGCCTCTTTTCTCTCCTTGTCGCGTTCATCGTCGTATGCGTCACGTCAGGAGGATCCTTGGCATTCGATCGCTGGGTACTCGACACCAGAGGGCGATATCAATGATGCTATCGTACTGACGTGGACACAACCAGTTCAGAAATTGGGAAATTGATTTGGGATGATGTATGTGACAAAACTCTGCACGTCTGGCTAGACAACTGAGCGTTCTAATAGGCTTCTGGCCGTATCTCAGCTCGAAAGAAGGGAAAGGTTGGTCAGTACGAACAAGCTGCGATGGCAGTCCGTGCTCAAGGCCGCCCGAACCGACGCCTATAAGGCCAGTATGTAAGTACTGCTGTAACGTCTCGGAGACACTCCAGTGCTTCCGGGTTCGAATACTCGAAATACAACCCTACCCCAGGTGAGGATGAAGCAATACCCGTGGATGGATTTGGACAGATCCAAGAGCAGTCGCAGCCAGTCGCCGAGAAGTAAAGACCTCCAAGACCCGAACAATCGCCAGGACTTGTACCTCGGTTATCCATCCAGGGATCAACAGATCTACCACAAGCAAAACCCCGGCCAGAAAGCACACCTGGCGGGACTCCGCCTTTTTCACAGTATCTGTATCTCGAGGTTCTAACTATCAGTCTTATTCGACCGTTTGGCGACACGGAACGAGCGCCCAAGGAAGATGAGGATTTGGATGTAGTGGCCTGTTGTGAGTGCGTCTTCATGATATGTGATTGTCGTTTTTGATGTGAGCGTAACTTACAGACACAAGTACCTTGTTTCGGACGCCGATTTTGTTACACATTTCTCTTTGTCATCAAATGCCAAGTATGCGTGAGTGCCTCGCGCGCTGTGACCGTCCGGGTTGACCGTATCTATCTGTCTTCGCTTCCAATTCAAAGTTTGCTGACGGACACAGGCTGAAGTTCATTACCAACATCCGGTTGTGAGCTCTCAGTCTATTGTCTGATGCTGTGCTTTCTCTGCGCGGCGTATGTCCATACCATTGCTGTAGCTGCTCTCGTCTCTGACCGTCCCACAGCATGCACTCACATAACTTTGTGGATGGAACGCCGCAGTGATTGGCTTCATGGCCGTCAAAATGCCTTATCTATCAATACGATCTATCCGTGTCGAACCATGTCCTTGTCATCGGGAATGTCGCATCCAGGGAGTATACATTCCAAGTTTTGGACTGTTATGACAGGTTCGCTGTCACCCGATCACGTTCACAGCCTCTTGCTAACTATATCTAATGCATGCAGTGGCGTTTTTGACACACATTCTGGTTTCAATCTGATGCTGTTCTGATCATCAAAGACTGTCACACCGGCAAGCCCCTGAAGGCTAGTGGTGCCACCATGCAAACAAAGCGCAAGTGGGTTCAAGATCCATTCAAGATCACCATGCAAGTGATAGGCTTTTTTTCTTCACGCTACTACTAACCCTAAGTGTAGACAGCCCTTGCTCGTTATGCAACGAAACACACGGCCACTTCTGATTTGGGCGCTGTGCGTCATGACAGAACACTTCAATAACCACACGACATTATAACATGCGTCCGCCCAACGCTTACCAACATACCTAGAGAGCAGCCAGTACCAACTTCTGCAACAGGTAGGATTAGAATCCGAAGGCCCCTGTTCAACATGTCTTTCTCTCAGTATCATCGTTATCTGGGTTTCTTTTGCGTCGTTCCAAGCGAGCTAGAGAAGTCGTATGATGGCCCTTCGACTTCGCGAGGATTGAGCAAGGCGAGAGCCTGTCCAATGCAATGACTCGCCATGAACAGTCCGCTTTCCCCGAGACCTAAGAAAACAGTTCTAGCTATGACATGTGGCAGCGGCACTGTATCTCGACAACTCGTGCAATTCTCTCTGCACAGACAGCCCTCTTGCCCGTAGTCTGCATCCTTCTCTGGGCATTCTGGTGGGGGTACGTTTCCGGGGCGGGGTCACCGTGGGGGAGGCGGGTCTTGCAGGCCGACTCACTTACCGCACGGTCCCCTTCTCCCCATTGTTCTGTACATGATCTTAGTAATCACCAACAGTCTGAGTCATTTGCGAAGCCTTTGTTAACTTTCCGGATTGGATATCTGAGCGGCTTTGTATACTTGTCATGATGGGGGCTGACTTACTGCCACAGCGAATCACTTCACCTAAGGTGTTTTACGAACGTGTTGAAAGGATACTCGTGATCAGGCCCTCTGGCAGAGACGGGCGGTGCCTTAAGCGGTTACGTGCTAGTTAGCGTTCCATGGATGGTGCTTCATCACCGACGCAATGACTCAGACCAATGCGGATTATGTAGCGGCCTCCTGCGGAGCTTTCCAGAGACTGCTCAGGAGATTTTCTTCGCACCGTTGCAGATCCTATACCAAATCTGAGTGCAGCGGGACCCGTGAATGTTACTGCCAGCGACCTCTCTTTGTCACATGATATGCCTTGGTACCGCTCCTTCGAAGGCTGTCACAGCTCCCGATCCAACCCATCTGTTTCTTTCAGCCAATGGTGTCAATTAGGGCGTCTATAAGTGTACGCATAACAGCTCTCGTCTTCGCTTGATTGATTTATTTCTTAGTAGATATTTAGTCCAATGCTGCTCGTAACGAACGTGAAGGTTCAATATATTAGTGAAGGAAATTATACGCATGAGCCTCGCGATAATTTCATATCCGCCATAGTCCATAAGTGTTTATTAGCAAAAGTAATTCATACACCATTCCTAGTTTGACCGCTCGGAACCACAGAACAAGCAGAGATCTCAAGAAACAATGTCCAGAAGCATAAGATGGCCCAGCATGGAAGGAGGAAACTCAAATGAATCTGCTACTTTCTAGCAATGAGTTTCAGGTCCACAGATCGAACCCCAAATGCAAGGCCAGAATGCCTTGTATTTCCCATCACTCGTTCTTCGTACTGCTTTCTGGTTTCCCCATTACAAAGTTCGATGTCAAGTTTGAAGTCACGCAAGAAATGGGACAAGAAACAGGCCCCCTCGACCTGGGCGAACTTGCGCCCCACGCATACACGTGACCCATACCCGAACATGGTGAGGTCATGTTCGGGTGCGCCGTACCAGCGGGAGGGGCGCCACACGTCAGGGTCCGGAAACGCCTCGGGGTTATGATCTATTCGTGACGATTCAAATGAGCGAATGCGTGTGACGCGAGCTCAACTTACGGACGGCGAGCAAATCAATCATGATCCCCGAACCCTTGGGAATCGTGATAACTCCTGGTGCAGGACTTGTTACATTAACTGTGATATCCTCAATGGCACGTCTTGGATTTATGGTCCCCGGAGCTGATCGCCATACAATTAGGCTGAGAGAAAGCGAGGGGTTGATGACGCACGCAATATTCTTGCAGATTCATGGAAGCATGCCAAGGTGTGAGTAAGTTTCCCAACATCTTCTGGACCCTGGAAGAACATTAGTCACAAGTGATGGCACGCGGGAAATGACGAACAAGCTCGCGATCAACAGGAGTTGCCGCCAAGATTTCTTGATAGGCTTTCTCTTGTTCGTCCTGATAGATTGCTAGGTAACCCAAAGTCGCCGCCAGGACAAACATGCTTGACTCTGAAACGCAGGGTGAATGATCTAGGAGAAGTCTCGGAGACAAGAAACGTACCATGACCAGCAAACATCAGCGAGAAAGTATTCCCGATCTTAATGCCCACCATAAGGCATCGTACATGGCGATCAGGAAAGGTCAACTCACAACTTCCTCCTTGTCTAGGTTAATCTTCCCAGGAGCTGCTCATCGCAGTCACTAGGCGCGCGAAGATGTCGCCCCGTGGCAAATTATTATCATGGCTTTTCACCCCGGACAGCTCTCGGGCTTTCTTGTCGACAACCTTGCTCATGTACTCCGCTAACGACGACCGGGCGTGTCCCATGTCGCGAAGCCTTTGACCACAGATTTATCGAGAAACCACAGGAATAGAATGAAACATACCATTTGGAGGGTAATCGATGCGACCAACGCGGCAAGATGACGCTCCATGGAATCATGGTTCTTTCGACCCACTCCATCGCAACTGAAAAGGACATCTCCTCTTCAGCCTTTTCGACATTTGGGTCGCTCCACGGCATTGGAAGGCCAAAACCACATCGCGCAATGACCGCTAGCGCGAACTGCCGAGACCACAGGTAAGTCTGCATGATGTGACAACGATGCGAATTTGACGTACACTGCGGGTGTACAGACCGATATCGCGGACGATCGTCACTCGCTCATCCCCCCACTTAGCTGCTCGAACCATGTCCTCGTACAGTGAAGCAGACTGCTGCCATACAAGATCGAAGCTGATGGACGGCCTCAGTGCGCATCTCAGAGCATAGGAGAACACGCCCACGTTTCGCCAGTAAAGGCAGGTCCAACGATCCTTCTATGGCGCCTCCATACATCTCCATTGGCGGTGAGCACATTTTGGCCCCAGGTACTTAGGCGAAGTGAGGCTGCAAAAAATACCGCTTGATGAAATACACACACCAGACCGCACTTGTCATTTCGGGGGGTTTAATGAGCCCTGTCTTGCGTTCATCCTTCAACAACTGTCTCACGACTGAAGGAGAACATGTGTAATATAAGGGTTGACCAATGAACGGAACTATCGAAATCACTTCGTGCTTGTAGTTGAAATAATCTGTGAAGAATGAATCCCCCGCCCTCGAGCATGAAAGTGTTGCTGACTCACTAGTTTTCCTCCAGTCCCAAGACCAATTGAGGCCCGGGTTCCACCAACACGTAGGAATGATAACACCAAATATGCCAAGCGGAGAAAAGGGTGGTCTCATACCCGGCAGGTAGTTGACACTCTATGAGGGAAGTAAATGCAAACATTGGTATTGCGAACAACTGCATTCCGTTCACTAACCTTTAGCTTTGAAGCGAAATTCCATGTGCAGTACACCGCTAGCAAGAACGCACCAATTACAGCTGTGGTGGGCATGATTTTGATGGAGGAGCATACCGCGGGGGATCTGAACAACTAGTATTTGAAGGGAACCAATTTCACAGGGGCTAGGGACAGGTTGTCATAAGCCCCAAATATAGTACGCATAGCCCACTGTATCGGTACAGCGTCTCGCCCATACTCGGTTGTTGCATGAACACGCCTGGAGGTTGGAGATAAAACTGAAATCGGCACAGCATGGGGGGACTATACAAACCACAACTTCCAAGTCCCCAAATGAATCCTGTGCGCCGTGACCGTACCTACGGAGATGTCTATCACCACTTTGGGTAAGGCGAGGACATGGGCGTGGAGCATACTCCCTATTCACACAGGCTAATACCCCTATGAATATAAGATTAGTACCCCCTTGCATTATGACGTTTATGTAACATACGTACGACCAGGGTTCACAGCCAACGTGGGGAAGGTGCCTTCTAGTTTGTACCTTGTTGACTAATAACATATGACCCATCGCAGGGCCAAGGGTTCCGAGATTGGTTAGACGAGTCGTGACCGGTGACCTGCCAGTTTATGCGGTTTTCCCGAGGCTTATAACAACGGCTGTGCACGTGATATTGTTTGAAGATATGCAGCCACTTGGTATTGATTCCACGGACTCAGGTTATCGGCCAGTGGTCTCCCATGTATCCGGCAACCGGTTTTATTGACGTAGATTTCGAAATCAGGGTGTCGTTGCCGTGTCATGCGATGATGATGACCACAAAGAGCTGGAGCTGAATTGACTGATCAAGCTTCAATGGCTGCTCGCGTTCTAATACCAACCAACGTTGTGCTGCTACTTGGCTATTCGTCTTTCAGGAAAATGTTTGGCTTTATGTCTAGCGGTACTTACTGGCATTTCAATCTGGAACTCAAATACTCTTGTATGGACTTTCATGTGGTTGAAGTTCGGGAACAGAATAATTTCGGACTGATAACGGCGAACTCCGCACGGTCACATGTCGCCTGATGAACATGAGACAAGGGACAGGAAATTATGGAACGAGCCTTACCTCTTAGACAATGGACTGGCAGTATGAAGGAGCTGACCGCCGTTTTGGTCTTCACCCGAGTCTACATGTGTGGCTGAGGAAAAGTACCCTAATTGACTTAATTTTATCACAAACCCCATCTCCGTCCCGTCAGAACCACATCTGCGGACAGTCAAAGCTATTCTAACTTCAGATTTAGATCTAGCGAGTCAAAATATGTAGAAAAATGAGCCTCCCAGGTTTTTCCCATGATATCTTTTTGGGCCCACCAAAATTTTGGGCAGGATAGCTAAATATATAATAACCCTTGTCAACACGACACAACAAGCGTTCCGCAGGGCGGGCGCCGGGGGCATCCACAAACACAAACGACATCTGTAGGTTGTCTCCCAGGAATAGTGGAATAGTTAACATGCTACGTCAGCATTCCGAGTCGCAGAACTACAATAGGGTCCCTCAAAGATGCCGACGACGATGCCTACGCCTACAGCGCGACTACCATAAATTAGCTCAGCTGTGGGCGTCGGCGTCGGCGCCAACTTTGAGCGGCCCTAATCTACACACAAATTCAATCTCCAAATTTGTTGACTTTGACTGTCCGCAACTGTAGAATGGCCTTGCATTCTACTCACCATCATTGTCTCGCCCAAAACCATTCTAGATCCAAGTACATAACTGTTGTCAATGTCCGTTGGTGCATTGGAGGCTCACCGGACAAGCTGAGCCACTTGAAACAGACGGCGCAAACGCTACCTGCTTTAGGAAATCAGAAAATGTCACGAAGAAGGGTCATATCAATCTGATCATGATGGAGGAGTCATGCCCTATCCACGCTTTGACCTTGTGTCCAGACTTGGCCCGGATCGGGAAATGCCATCCATTTCACAAACTTGGGCGTGTTCACCCTGAGTGTGCAATACTACAGCCTAGTTTGGCGCCATCGATTCTATGTTTTGCAAGGGATTGATAGGCAACAAAATAGGCAAGAGAGAAAAGCAGGGTTATCAAGTTCTTTTAAGAAATATTTGGTCTCAAGTACCTGAGAAACTACGTGCGTTTAGCATTTCAATGCCTTTCCCCCATCGCCCCCTCTGCCCTGAAATATAGGTCGGCAAGATAACACTCCTCAAAGGATTCCACTCAATGATGGCAAGTGAGTCATGCAGCGAAGTTTCTGTAGTACATATTCCAAGTTGTGAGTTTGCATTGCAACTTTGAAAGGCATCGGTGACTCCAATCGGTGCGCCTACAGAAAATGCTGCCCGTCAGTGGGTATGGCACGTGATCTGTTCAAAGTTCAAACGCTGCCGTGATCCTACTTCTCGCAAAACCTTGGTGCTGGCGTAAGCCATTAATACTATCGGCAAGGATAGTACATGGTGACTAACCCCAGTCAGAAGGAGCCACTCGAGCACATCAGTACTGCCTTCAACAACGCAGCCGAGTACCAGTAGGTACTTTCTTCACCTCGTGAAATCTGACGTAACAGATGATGAAGGTGAATGGCCAGCACTGGAGGACATCACAAGAAAGGCAAGGACCTTATCACGTCGTTACCCTCTGACGCTGACGGCCCTCTCGTCAATGGCGAATGTGGCTCTGCTAGTGCGGAATCTGCAAGGAGTGGACTAATTGTCAGCAGAGGCATGTTACGTGACTCCTTTATCTTCATAGATGTCATTCAGTTTGTTGATTACTGTCAGAGTGAGGGATGTGTGATTGTAAGTGGCGTCGCACACACCCAGTCACCCTAATCAGCGTCATGTTTGTCTGAGGCTGGTCGCAATATTATTGCGGGAATGCGTACAGGGCAGAATGATAGTCGAACTCACTTGCAACGGTAGGCGAGGTCATTCGGTGCATGAATTCTTGATTATCCTTTGTCCTAGGGTCGTGCTTGAAACAGGCGGTGGCACATCAAAATGTCGGTTATCACTTGCCGCTCGTGCTACGGAACATGTGGCCAAGTACGACTGTTTCAAGGAACATTTCCACTGCCACTCTCGTCTCCCAAGAGACCATTCTGGGTACGAGCTGTCAAACTCCTTCCACGGCACCAGTGATATAGCAAGGATGGCATTGCAGGTACGCTCTTAACTTCTTCTGGATATATTCAACTCCTCAAATGGTAGATAGCCATCTCCTACAATATCGGATTGATTCCTGGCGCAGCTCTGTCTGGAAAAGAGCCCGAGATGCGCTCAAAGAACAACTGCAAGCACGCCGGCCGTAAAATGACTCCCTATACATCTAGTACATGTACAAATTTCTATGTCTAGTTGCTGACCAACGCCCCCTCGCCTGGCTCTGGCGCGACGCACACTCAATCCAACCGTATTACTCTCAGGCTCAGATATAAGTGGTTTGTGATCTTGTGTCTTCTGGAGTGTGTGAAGATGATGCACAATATTTGCTAATCCGCTATCAGCAAATCCTCACTCTGGTCTAGAGCGGAGTGGGAATTCAACTCGGAATCCCAAGCAATACGTATGGCCTTCTCTCAGCTGTGCGTTGTCTAGACCAGGCTCGTCAAGTGCTTCTTGATCGAGGAAGGATTCTAGTTCATCTAAGCAGACAGAGTTCTAGCCCACGCATGGATCCGAACGAACCGCCAAGAGAAACTACACCATGAACGCAAGGTTCTGGTCAGCGCGGTCACAGAATTGCACCATACCCGCAGACAGACGTCGACCACTGGTACCGACGCACGTCGGAGATTTTGCAGGTCTCCGGAACGAGTGTTATCCGATGCCTCTGTGTTGACGATACAGGGGGAACAGGCCGAATCAGAATACACAGTAACTCGATCCCGACTACTAAGTCAGCCCGGGATCGGGAGTTGGCTCCGTCACACGTGCCGGTTCATTTTAACAGTAGTACAGTGTTCCTAGCTTTTCTTAGTTTTCCTTTGTAAGTGTAAGGGGCCAGGATCGTGAACGTACCGTAATAATATCGTCGGTAGAGCGTTGTGTGAGGTGGTGCTGCGATCACATGGTGGCAGTATAAATATTCTCCCTCGTCCAACAGTGTTCGATGGCATCCGCTGGTAGCTGCCATCACCAACTCTTGCGCCTCGATAGACCAGTTACTGTCGATGGCTTCGAGTAATATTCGTGGCGTAAATGTTGACTACCTGAACTGCACAAGCACGTCGAGGGGGCCGTCACTGTAGGAGATGGCTTTGTCATAGTCTGACTCATATACAGCAAATCCGATTGTCAAAGATCACACAGCGCTATCATCCGCGATCTCTCAGATAACCATGAGCGAGACATTCTCTACTTCTACTTCCCAGGAGATCCTTCCATCCGAGCACTTCCTCAATCTTCCCCGTCCTGACGTCTTCATCGGTCCTGGTGCCAGTGCTGACAATGGCCCCGATTTTGGAGGGATCGTCGACACAACAACCCTTGCGGCACATGATTTCGACGTCGATACGCGGACTGGTTTCATGCCCCCCGACCCACCCATCCACAGACTCCCTGAACAATGGGAGCCGTGGGAAGCCGTGTTGAAAGAAGCCATGCGCAAGGGGTTGCAGCTGGCTATCGGGGAGGATGTCACGGATGAGGAAAGGAAGACGTCGGACAGCTGGCGGTCGGAAGTGAGTAACGTAAGTCTTTTCATTTTCATTGGTGCATCGCATCGTGATAATCTTGTAAATAAACAAAGTTACCAACGCTCGCTATTCAAGACCTCACAACATCCGAGGTCCTTCTCCGCAGAGCGCATCACGTTCTCACTTTCATAATGCATTTCTATATCCACACTCTCCCTCTAACCGCACCCGTCGTGATTCCTGCGTCGATTGGGATCCCGTTGTTGAGAGTATCAAGACATTTGCAGTTACCGCCTATAGCCACGTATTCGGATACCGTGCTGTACAATTGGGAGCTGAAGAAGGCACCTTCAACTTGTGAAGCGGAGACAGGGTTGGAGTGGGCATGCACCATGGATCTAGATAACCTGAAGAGCCAAGACCTCTTCACAGGTACACGCGATGAAGAGGAATTCTTCCTCGCATCCGCCCGTATCGAACTGCGGGGCGTCGAAGCGCTCGAACTGATGCGCGCATCGATGGATGAGATGTTCGTCGGTGACGATATCGCCGTCCGTCGTATCACATCTTACCTCTCCCGTCTTGCTGGAGTGATACATGCGTTGACAGGCTTGCTGATGGACGTGCGAAAGGGGTGTGACCCGGACGTATTTTATCATCGCGTGAGGCCTTGGTTTTGTGGGCAGGATGCTGATCCTGCGAAAAGGACGTGGAAGTTTGAGGGTATCGAAAAATGTGAAGATGGTATGGAGGAGCCCACGGATCTGTCAGGACCAAGTGCAGGGCAGAGCGCATTGATACATGCGCTGGATATTTTTCTGGGACTGGACAATTGCAGATCGGAGACGACGCCGACAAGTGGAAACGCGGATGCGCGCACGTTACTTCGAAGGATGCAGATTTACATGCCAAGACATCATCGTGCCTTCCTTCGACATCTTTCCGCGAACCCTCGTCCCATGCGTGACTTTGCGCAGACAAAAATACCGGAGCTCGTCGATGCGTATAATCGGGCTGTGGGTGCGGTGAAGGAGTTCAGAGACGCGCATATAAGGATCGTGGCGTTGTATATCGTCGGACCAGCGACTCGAGGGCGAGCAGGGGAGGCGGAGAGGGGGTCTTTGAAGGGTACTGGAGGAACACAGTTGGTGCAGTTTCTGAAGGGAGTGAGAGACAAGACAGAAGATGCGTTGTTGCAGTAACCCATTCTCCCGCTAGGCGCAAAATGGCATGACATTGCTAGTGAAATGTAACCTCCACTTATCAACAGCATGGCAGCCGACACCCCGTACGATAGCCATTTAAGCCTGTCTTCGGAACATTCAGACCGGCAGTGTGTTGGCCAGCAATGACAAGTATACGCATATATCTGTGATTGCGACGGCAATGGCACACAGAGGCCTTAACCACCGTCAGGTCGACACTATCACCGACACCGGCGAGGCTACCGTTGAACTCGACGACGATTACTTGGTGACCATATCCCCATGCTGTCGGTGGACCCTCTCAAGGGGACCCTCAGTAGCCATACTACGCGAGAGGCAACAATCGATTCCTCAAGACCCCAACTTATGTAATGCCGACGTTCGCACTGTGCTTCGTGGCCTTGACGACAATGATCCATTCGACGATGTCATGCTCGGAGATAAACTTGGACAATTCGGTTGGTGGGCGAGCATCGTTTGGCCGCTCAGATTCCATTGCATGAGCTCCTCATTATAGACTTCGCCATGGCAGAGAGGGTGGAGTAGACCTCGAGTTCGTTCGCATTTGTATCGTGGAATGCGTTAGATTTCTTGTTCTTTATAAGATCTTTGAGGTGCGAAACAGTCTTCGATGCCAAGATATAGACGGAAAAGAAGTGATCAATACGGTCGTCGTAGGCCCAACATCAGGGCTTGATGAGCGATCCCATGCATATGTCGCTGGTTGCAGACATTCACGATAGGGTACGCAAACAATAGTTTCACGTTAGGAGTTGTTAGGAGTGTCGTATCCTCCATAGGAACCTTTTGCGTTTGCCGATCTGGTGATGGCACTGGAGGGCATAGCAGTTGCTAGGAACTCCGCCGTACAATTAACGGCATGTCAATAATAGGAGTAGGGGTGAAATTGCCTTGGTTGGGGGGTTCGTATTTGTCGATGGTGTACGGGCTGTCCAGTAATTGTTAGTACAATATTCCATCTCGGACACGGATATCGTGTCTTTTGCGCGGAAATGAACGTTCATTCCGTTCTTTTTTGAGCTAGGTCAACAACGTGTTTACGAACATCCGTTATCGCGAAGAAACAAAAAAAAAGAGAAGTGGAATCCGGAGGCACATTGTACTTCCGACGAAAGCCCATCGGACCTGGACGCAAACCTATTTGGATACCCTGCTGATGATGATTCATTGAGCGCAATATTCTTATTCCGCAACATTTCACGTGTGCCCCATCCAACACGCACACACGCACACGCACAGAAAAACGAAATGAGAATAAAGAACGACTTAGTCTGATTCAGTGGTCCAGAGAACCGTGGAGGGTGGGTGCACACCCCAATGATGCACAGAACAGATGGGCATCCTTGAAATACCGGTGGACGAATTTGATGCAAATGGGTTGACCAGACGGCTGGAGAGCGCTGAAACAAATATTACCATGGAGATGGACCGGAATAGTTGTTCCGATTAGTCACAAGAGAAATAAAATGGGCAAGATGTTTCCGAATAGTTGGAGGTAGAAGGGGGTGAGTACCGCAGAACGGACTCCATCCAAGAGACTTCAATAATACTATTTTGAGCATACGAGAATTCCTACTAAGTGCCTGTTCAGACTCACCAGAGAGAGTGCCTCGATGACTGCTGACGGAGGGGTCCGAGGAAACTGTAAACAGGAGATCCAGAGGCCACAGCCTCTCTTTACCATCAAAGATCAGGCCCCTCGAGGTTTCTTCGGGGTCTTTGTCACATACAACGGAAACCTTGTAAAGAGCGAGGGAATGGAATCCGCATCTACATTACGAAAACTCACTGGTTTCTTATCTTTAATGGCCTTTATGCGGAGTGCAAACAAACTTCATGCTAGAAATCTTGATGGGAAAGATCTCATTGATCTTATCGCCACGTACCCAGCGGACGATGACAGAAGGCCTAATTGTGCACCGTACATCTAAGAAGCGAGATTCATCATAAAGGCAACATCGTACCATAGCAATAAAAGGCGTACCTAAAGTAATAGGATTGACGCTGACTACGACGATAGCCTATCTGACAATCGGGCTCGGGGCAAAGCTTGGACGATTTGGTTCTCGAGTAGTTTCGCCGCTTGAGCTTGTCTTCGGAGACTTCACCATGGCGGAGGGAGGCTGTCCGCATCATAATCGCGGAACCTGACAGCTTTCTCATTCTTCATAACTTCTTGGAGATGTAAAACTGTTTTTGACAGGGAAATCAAGGTGGTGTCGATGACGCCACTGTAGACCCAACACAAGTTTGATGAGTGATCCCATGCTGCAGGTTGCAGAGATTCACGAGATGGGAGATACAAGTGATCACAGTCAGGAGTTCGGCCAAAGCCTTATTTCGCAGCCCGCGTTTTTACCCACACAAAACCCCACGACTCTCCAGCACTGAGTCCCCCAGCAACTAAATAAATTCACCAAGGATCCTGTCAAGTGGTGGTGGGGCTGGAGAGCCTTCACGCAAGACGCGCACGTATGATACGTCGCCAAACCTGTCACAACGATTGGAAATGTGGTTAGCAAAATCTTGCTAGGTCATAGGTCTCAGTCACATCCGACGGTGAACTTAAATCCACCACCCGTCAGACCGGGATGGATACAACTGGTGAGAATGGGGAACACGGAATTCACCTCCATCACAATTTCGCTGCTCATGGCTGACCATCGCAGGCAGTTCGCACGACCAAGGCCGAGCCCAGCAGCGAGACGCACCATCGAGCCGTCATGTCCGACATACATGTGCAGTTTGTGCTTCGGTCGCCCCTGTGCTCCGACAACATGACTTGTTACACCAATATGTGCATTATTGTCCCTCAGGTTCTCCTCACCTCCGTTGCAGGAACTGTTCCGATTGGACACGTGCCGCAAAGTATTTGCAAGCTCGGCAAAGAAAACACCGAACGCGAGTTTGACATACTGGCTAGCTTGTGGTCCATCGTTAAAAAGATATCTGTACCACGGACGAATCCCGCGGCGCGAGCGGAGGGGTTTGAACGTTCGTTAGGCGTAAAATCTGAAGCGGTCCCGAATGAAACAGTCCACACACTTGTATTCCCAATCCCCAATCGAAAATACCATCTTCGCGTCTTCTGGACTGACACAAGCACCAGTTACACTACATGGGAGGGGGTGTCCCTGGCACGGCCTGGACGTGAAGATGTCGAAGTGATCATCTGTGCAAGCACGTGCAGTCATGAAGAGAATGGATGCAAGGAACATGAAACCGAGGTGGTACTTACACCAAGAATTCCACGCGTCTAGCCCAGTTGTGCCCAACGTTTCATCTAGCCTCCGCTGGAGAGATTCGTGTTTCGCGAGGTGGTCCACCCAGGACGACATGGCTTGCGCCTCAGCGCGGAGTTGACCAGCAACGGGGCACGCATAGTTCAGCACGAGTGAGTCGATCTAGTTGGAAAACGTCAGATCTTGGCCCAGGAATAAGGGAACCACGCAAATCAAATGTATGGCCACGCACGATATTAGGCTGCATATACACGGGCCATTGTTTACTCGCAGTGTTGGGATCCATACCATAGAGCATCGCACCAGCTACTTGCTGCGTCCTCGGCTCCGTCGACGTTCAAACGTATATCTCCTTCTCGTTTACGTGCTCCAAAAACCCGAGTCTCTCATGGTATACTCCCAAAAAATCCTGTTCACACAAGCCGATGATATAAGCCCTGTGACAGCTCGTATCCTCATAGACGTACCCGCCCATGTTTTGTGGCATCGTCAAGCCCCTCGCGTGTGAGCTGTCCAGAGTTGCACGTACCCGCCCATATGCAATCTGCAAAAGGGTGGAGAAAAGGTATGCTTGTTTCAGTGAATATTTGAGCCGTCCCGCCAGCGTAAGACTGTGGTATGACGCTAGAGCAGTCTCATCCGGTGATGGGGTTGAGAGTGCGTTCGGACGGGTAAAGTTTGCGCTGTAGCATCGATGAGAATGGTTGACAAGCGGTAACAGGAAGGGCCCGAGCTTGTGGTGCTGCATGACCACTACGACGAACCGGAGTCGTGCACCGGATTCGTTTGGCAACGAGTAGTGATCAGGGTTGGCATGAGGTGCATTGCAGTAGTTGTAAGTGTCCCATGGCAAACTACTCGGTGTAATGGACGCGTTATAGACCGAAGTCTACATCATGGTTTGCTTGTGTGCACTGTCCAGAAGAGTCCAGCATACCTGCATCAGTCGCAACTACGTGCAAGTTGAACCTGTAAAAGACGACAGCAGCGCTACTACGAGACCTTGAGCCTAATGCTAATTACATATGTGCACATTTCCCCGCAACTCAAGTCGTCGATTCCGGCAACACGACACCATGGCGAGCAAGTTCAGAGTGTGTAGAAACTGCGTAACTTTGCCACTACAGGCACCCGTACCGTCATCGAAGAATCTAGCATCACAGCGTGGTGTTTGTATTTCTGCAAAATAAGAGTGCAGCAATGACTCTCAAGGATTATGACAGGCAAACTTGAAGGAAATTTAGTACTTGTTCCCACTACAATGTAACTCACGCATCTCATGTCCCAGAAACATATCACCTACGTTACAATCCACTGGAATCGACGGGGCTTACGAGTGCCATCTTAACACGTCCCCGCTGCGTGTTTTTATCTTTCTCCACGTCAATCCTCACCTTGACTTTATCAAAATGTGAGATCGTAACCTCTCGTCTGGTCGTCTGGGACAGAAGGGCAGCGGTGTAATTCTCCGCGTCGAACCGAACGTCTTGTTTGAACATGTCGAGGCCTTCCAAGCCCAGTCTAGTATGCATTGAGCAGGAAATCCAACGAAGAGAAGGACTGACTCGAACACGAACACACCGAGCCCGTTCCTAAATGTCCGGACGAGGAATGCTTCCTCGACGACTCCCCCGACGTTTCCATTCTTTGCAAGAACCTCCCCACGCTTGCGCAACGCTAGGCCAACATAGAATTCAACGCTCGCGCGACCTACCATTTGCGCCATGCGATGTCGCTGGTTAAGGACGTCCATGATACGTTCTACATGGACTTTGGAATGGAAAGAAGGATGTAGTGGTGTATGTGCACTTGCCGCTGCGAGCTGGCGGTGCGCGAGGACGTCTGAAGGAAACCAGAGTAAGCAGTAACAATACTGTGAACAACGTTTGAGGCGATGCCTAGGTGACGAACGGCAGGTTGAAATCGGCGATGAAGTCAAAAGCCCTCAAGCGCTCCAGATTGAAGCTAATGAGTGTGGCATATGTAATGTCAGAGGTTTCCGTATTGCCCCCACCGCCAGTGAGTAGACCACCGATGCGTCCGCTGCCGTCGACGATGACCGAACCCGAGTCACCCAGAGCAGAGAAGGAGCCAGACTTGCTGTCAACTGGGAGGATTGTCCATTCCTTGGAGATGATGCCAACGCTGTTTTCGAAGTAGTAGCGAGCGTACGAGAAGACACCGTTGGCGCGGCCGATGATCAGACCGGTCTTGCCACCGTTCTTGAGGACCATGATGCATATCTCGTCGTTCTGGTCAATTGTCTGCGGGCGACGCATCCCGTCGACCGAGGTGGTATCGTGGAGCTTCAGCAGGCGATCTGCGGGATACTTGAAATGGGTGCGGTTGTGAACGTCGGGGCACATTTTAAGCATGAAGTCGGCGGAGTCGATCACCATGCCAAGGTCGATTACGTTCCCGTAGAAGTTGCTTGCGTCAATCTTGGACGGGTCGACCTCGATGACAGCGATGTCCTGGGTGAATCCGAGGGAATCGACATTGAACTGGATATGAGGAGCAAGGACAACGTGACCGAGGATGCGATCCACCGGGTTGGCCTACTTTGAAATGACCTCCTTGTGGAAGGCATCAAGTCTGTCGATCGCCTTCTTCGCCGTGTCCCGGAGATGCTCGGCCTCGGCACGTTAATCCTCGACATCGTCACCCTCCCTCCCCTCCATCATCTCGCAACGCGCCTCCTGGTGCTCGGCAATCATTACCTTCCGCCCAATCTGACCCATGACGGACGCGACGAGATTCTTGTAAGCGGCATCGCCGAGGAGGATCACTTTGTGGCGAAGCTGACCGGGATTCTTGCACTCGATCGTCTCGTTGTTTTCCAGGCTCGGTGGGGGGATGACGTGCCGTGCAGTGGCGAGGAAGACCTTGTCGACAGCACCAGACCTAGCGATGTAGAAGCCACCCGTTCCTTCGGCATGCCACCTTCCATCGGCACAGATGGGGAGGCCGAGCGCAACGCTCAGAGGGTCAACGAACGTGACAAGGGGATTAGATGAGAGGGCTGGTATGAAAAGCTTTGGGCCGACAGACTTGAAGACGCGGGATTCACGGATCTCTACCTCGACGTCCTTGATGCCGCACTTGTAGAGGACTTTGCGAGCATCAAAGGCCATGGTGCGGCCATTCTCGTCGGGGAGGGACTCGAGCACGACTCCGATCCGGAGAGTGACAGGGGCAGAGGACTCACCTACTATGCCAATGCGGACCACGTCGAGGCTGGTCCAGTCCACCTTCATAGCACTGAGACGGGCAGTAACCTGGTCAGCGAGGCCGGCCTCCCAAAGCTCGACGACCTTGTGCTCGCCGACAGCGCGGAGCATCTTGGCTGGCGTGTAATCCTCTGGGCCAGTGGGCAGCACCCACACCTCGTTGATCGTGTTGGCCACGAAGCTTGACCGAGAGGGCAAGCCATAGTAGTAGCCCCTAACCTGCTGGTAGGTGTAAGGGGCCATCCGCGCCGTCGCACTCTGCAGTGAAGAGAGTTCGGTTTTGTCGCCGTCGGCGCTCAAAAAAGAAGTCATAATAGTGAACTGAGAATTGCGATGACAGCTGACTGCAGAGAACTGGTAAGAGAGAGGGGTTTGCTGATGTTATGACAAACTATTTTCCTGGTTTTATGGAGACACTTGGCTAGTTCAATCCGAGCGAAACTTGAGACGACCGAAACCATCCTACGGTGTGACTTATTGCTCTCTGCCTTCCGTAGCATATTTTGAACTACCTTCTTATCTCTCCTCTTCGCTCGCAAACCATACGCAACGTCGTCGATCTCGCCCTCGGTGTGATCAACCTAGTGCATAGGTTTTTGTTGCGAATTCCTGTTTTACCCCAGCAGCTATCATGATGTTCAGCCTTGCATGCGCTCTCTCGGTTGTGGGTACGTCTATTGAACATTCCTCTCCGCCTGAGCGATGTATGTGCCGATCCGAATGATGAGGTGCTTGCGCGCCTCTGCGGACCACCGCCAGCTGAAAGGGACCATGTGCAGTCTCGCGTAAGTGCTCTCGTCCAAACAATTCATGTCGTCGTAAATATCATCAGTGAACGACGCGTCAAAAGTGCATGGCACAACGCTGCAAACCGACATCTACCCTCGATCGATCCCCATTAATGACACTGCCTTCGTCCCCCTCTCGGAACGCGCGACAAACATGCTCATCTCCTGTAGCAGACATTCCACATATGTCGCCGTAAACTTACGCATTGAAGTTTTGGCAAAGGCACGTCCGTCCGACGATGGGAGCTAATTGATGATGTAGGACCTCTTGCAAGCGCAGGAGACTCCCGGAGTCCAGCGATTGCCTGGGTCAGTTCGATTTGGGTGGAATCGCTTTTGAAAAATGTTTGTGCTGATCTCGCAAGATTACGGAGATACCATCGAATCGTAATATGGGCCATCGTTGAATGTCGCAGTCAGTGAAAAGGCCGCAGATACACCAGTAGGAAGATTGTCGTTGGATGACGAGGTTCACAATTGTTAGTGGTGCACACGCTACCCCACTAACTGTTAGTATAAATATTCCACCTCGAACGCGAGTACCGCATCTTCTCCGTCGAGATGAACTCTGATTCCGTCTTTTTTTGGCGCCACGTCAAAAAAAATTGTATACGAATGTCCGTGATCGCGAAGAAACAAAAGAATAGAAAAGAATCCGGATGTACACTCTCACCGCACTACCGACGAAGGCACCCACTTCACGCCCAATGCATCATTCTGTCTTACTACTACCTTGCCCGTCGGGGATGCCGGACCCGGACCCGAACCCGTTTGTACACCCTGCTGTTGCTGCTGCTGATACATCGAACGTAACATCCTGATCCCACAATCTCGTGGAGCGACTTCTCCGCATTTCATGTGTGCCCTATCCAACAGACACGCAAACACGGCGAAAACAAAGAACCGTTCAGTGGTCCAGAGAAAAAAGGAGAGCTCACGTACCGAAGACCACAATCATCACATTCCAGAATAGGCTTCCACCCGATCCGCTTCATGCATATATCGCATTTATATCCCAACAGTCCATTCCCAAACAGTATCTCCAGCGGATTCCACCCCCCTCCTCCTGGGGACGATGTGGCATTGGGAGCTCGTTTCGCCCCGGGTTTGATCAGCGTAAATCGGTGTAGCGTGTGTATGGCCTGGATGGACGAGTGGCCTCTCGTGGCCACTGCAATGGAGGGGGTGGAAGTATGCGCAGTGCGGTAGGTGTAGTTCGTCTGGATGGAGTGTGTGGAGTGCGTCGGTTCTAGTGGTATCACGGAGCTGTCAGGTGGAGATGAGGATGTGATATCAGGGGGTAAGGGGTCGGGAGTGGCATTTGGATCTTGCATTGGCTTGATCGTGAGGACAGACGACAAGGAGGGAGTGATGGTATGAACGAGGTTGGTACCATCACTCTTCGGGAGATCCGTGTAGCTGCTGGACGTGTTCAGTAGGGGCTGCACGCTGTTCTCGCTGTCTCCTGTACAATAATGGTGTGATAGAGTGTAAGGAGTGAAGCTGGAGGGTACTTACCATTGGTGGCCCCACAAGAGTCACCACTCAACTCGACGCTGATGGGAGCGTTCTGTATCGCCTTTACAGCCTCTTCTTCGCTCGTACTCTCTTCGGCACTCGATGGTACTGCAACGACCTCCTCCGCCAAAAACACAGACGTCTGTCCGCCGATACCTTTACCAATCTCCATCCCGAAACTGGGTATTCGAGGAGCGACTCCCCGTCGTTTCCCTTTCGACATAAACTTAACGCTGCCTAAATGTAGATCTTCTGTTTCAGGTCGTGACAACACCTCTGCTTCGATGTCCCTCAGACGGTCGAGGATGGCGCGAGTTGTCGGTCGGGCGGCGGGATCGTTGGCTATGCAGTCTAGACAGAGTGCGAGGAATGCCGGCGGACATCCTGGATTTGCCAGTCTTCGTACCTCGTCCGGGTCTATACCGAACGTGGAGCCGGTCCTCGCGAAGTGCTCCTCATCAGCCACCTTCCTCGCCGCAATCTCGCAAAATATAACACCCATCGAGAAAATATCCGTTGGGAGGTCAAACTCTTTGCCAAGCAGAATTTCGGGTGACATGTACGAATCCGTTCCACAAAACGTCAACCGTTTGCTCTCCTCAGCGTTGCGTGCTGCGATACGTGCGAACCCGAAATCGGTGATCTTGAGACGACCGTTGGTTGTGACGAGGAGGTTTTCACCTTTGATATCGCGGTGGATGCATTTGCGGGCGTGAAGGTATGCGATTGCGCGCGCGATATCCGTGGCGAAGGATATGCGGAGACGCCATGGGAACGGGTTGGTTTTGTCGACTATGTACATGCGCAAGTTGCCTGCTGCGATGAGAACATGGGTCTCTGATGAGATTTCATGATCTTACCGTTCTCGATGTATTCGGATACGATGAAGATGCGTCCGTCTGGGGGAGGTGCACGCGAAAGGCCCAGGTAGAGGACAACGTTTGGATGGCGCGATTCCCTATGCAATGCGATTCCCGTGTGAGGGGAGGGTTATGGAAGACAGACAGTCGGATTATTTACTTCATGAGTCTCCATTCTCTCTCGAAGTACTTGGCTACGTTATAACTGTTCGAGGGAAGGACCTCTTTAATCGCGACCTCGATGCCGAGGTAGGAGCCTGATAAGACGTAGAGGTGGGTGTTTGGAGTAGCGTTTGTGGGTATGTAGGCGCTACACACCTCTGTAGACGTTGCCGAATGAGCCAGACCCCAGCTTCTTCCACTTACCCTTGATGTCCTAGTAGCGACAACGGGTGTAAGTAGGGCATTTTGTAGGATGGCGCCCAGCAACATACGTCGAATGGGATGACATCGAAAGCATCTGACATGGCTGATGGTGGGACGAGCGAGGGGTATCCCCGCGGACATCATTTCGGGCTGGGCTGGCTCTCCTGACCAGACACGACACGTGACCACCTCCCGCTGTTCAGGGGTTTTGTTGCAGCAGCCGACCAGGATGCCACAAGCCCAGAGTCCTCCCAGGACGAAACTGTTCGAATATTCAACGCTGGGACTGTACGTGCCCTCTGACGTCAGTGCTAGCCGATACTGCTTTTTCCCACGTCCTCGAGACTTGCTGTCACTGGAAGAATCAAGTGAAAGTTCCAGAAGGACCCCTCTAGTCAGTGAATACACAAGTCTAATTGATCACACCACAGGTCGCATAGATCCTCACTCCTGCCTTGCTTGCTCCACCGGCTCACCTTGGTACCAGTACGCTGGACGCGACTTCAACCTGTCCCAACGCTGCACACTGTGTCCACAGTGTGCGGGTTTTCACAGGTAGGCCCCTGAATGATCCGCTCATTCATAGGCGACGTTTTCAAGACATTTATACTGCTCATGTTTCACTTTGGCTTTGCGAACGCATTGCAATCGCAAGAGCTTTAACGTATCGAGAGAAGGAAAAATGGAAAAAAGCTTGGTTTACCGTTCGAAAACTGGAAACGAGTCCGTCCTCTCTTCAAGTTGACATGCCTACACACTTCGCTTTGCAGCCCCCAAGGCCACATCAAAACCCTGGAACGTGTGACTAATGACTTTCAGCAGCTCTCGAGGCCTCATCCCTTTTTGCACAAGATCAAAGCCGTCTGGACTCCTCTCTTACGGATCTGGTCATTTACATAAGCTTTGGTCACTAACCTGGCTCGCGCTGACGACGTCAGTGCTACCAATATAGTGATGGGAATGTGCCTCTCGACCTCCGCGTACCAAGTGTCGAAGAAGAACCAGAGGTGGAGCCAGGTAAGTCTAGCAAGCCAGTATAACCTTGTAAATATAGAATGTCACTCTTCCACTACACTACCCACAAGCACCCAACCCTACCGCGGGTCGGACAGGTCGGCGTCAACATGTACCTGCTGAGGTTACTTGTGAACTGGTTTTCTCACGCCTCTCAAACAAAGCTTGGGGCTCCGAATCGATCTGGATGCTGTTTAATAGTACCCGTGAGTCGCTAGGATTGAAGATTAAAGATGGGATTCATGGTCACACTGCCAGACGTCCCTTTTAACAGTTCGAAAGCGTTGCACGAGTGAAATTCTACGGCTTGTATAGTACATAGTGATTTCAAGTATGTCTATGGATACATATGGCATGTGTTGAGTCTTACAGGCAAGTGCATCTCGACAAGCATGACCTCATACGATATCCGGAACCATCACTTCACTGTCTAGGATACTATCCAGGTCTTGGACGCGAGCCACAATTTCAGAATCACTTGCGATCCTCTCATACTCGTTATGAGGCAATCGCCTTAGCAGGAGTGCATTGAATGACTGCTCGAGTTGTTCCAATAACTTCCATGGAGCATCTATGTCACTGTCCGCCTGTGCTTCAAGCCATTTTGGATGCCAAGGACGAACGAGGACATATGATCCAGACGTTTCCTCAAGATTGACGGACAGTGTGACCTTGATGGGCCGGAGGAGTGGTGCGCAAATCTCATACATGCAGCATGAGGGGCTGGTAGAATTAGTGTGTAGCGGTTTGACCGTCGTGACCCAGTGGGCGATGCAAGGCAGCGAAAGCCTCTGATTGACGAACCGCGCACGCGGTAACTTCGCGAGGGAACTGTACAGCTTCTGCGCCTTTTCAAGGTCGAGGCCATTGCGTCCACTGGCGTCGCTGGCAGTTGCTGGTACACAAGGTAATGTCTGGTATGGCGCGAGGTTGGCAGGAAAACAGCTATGGATAGAGGACGCCTCTCCGACCCAATCCAAGACCGAAATGTCTCCAGAACGTGATATGATTTCCGCTAGCAAACGTCCGAGCGCGCTCTCCGCAGATTCGCCATAGAGGACTGGTAAGTGCAGCTTGAAAATACCAAAAAGAGAATACGCGACATCTTCTGGCCGAGTGGTACGACGGCTCGATGCCCACTGGAGCCTCGATCGTGCTTCGTCCATGCCTGGGTAGAAATTCGTAAGATGCCACTCTGCTATTCCTGTTGCCTTCTGAAGCTCCGCAAGCATAGTGGGATCTGCTTTGTGATTTGCCACTTCACGATTCATGCAGAGTGACCAGTCCCGCGTATAGAACAATATGGTGGGTGAAGCCAATAACTCTTGGAGAGTCCAGCCTCGCTTGAACCAGACGCTGTCTGCGGGTGAACAAGCGCCGGAGACGTCGGAGAGGTACACGAGCGTCAGTGACGACCGACGATACCATGAAAACATGGAGCCAATGGCCTCTTGAAGTTCAGCGCTGCTATCTTTGTCGATGCAACAAGTGTCGCTCCATGCCCACAAGAAACCACGGCGGAGAGCACAAAGACAAAACTCTTGGAGCTTGGCAAGACAATCCGTACCACTCAAGTCATAGACGTTTGTGCCTTCAACGTCACGTAGCAATGGTTCACTGCTCCCCCACCTGTGGGAAAGCATGACATATCGGAAAAAATTGACGACCGCATCGCGGATCCGCGCTTCACGTAGCTGGCCGTCAAGCCCGGATATCGACGAAAGTAATTGGCAGTATTGAGGACTAGCTTCGAAATGGGATAGCTGTGCATCTCGATTACACAAGATGCCAGTTGTGGTATGCACCAGTCGTAATGGCAGGTTTTCGAGTGTTTCGAAGACAATGCTCCTGATTAATTGTTTGACGTGGTAGCGACTAGAGCTTGAGGTACTGGCCCCCGGTACGGGCAGTTTAGGACCCCGTTTTCTGATCTTTGCTGTAAGGTAATTCGTAAGACAGTCCCGGGATAGTGTGTGGTCTGGGTGCCCCGAATCGCAGAGTGCTAAGGCAGCACGTCCGAGTTTGATCGCTTCCTCTATGTCGGTCGCCGAACTCAGTTTCTGGAATTTTTCGTGAAGGCTGCCAGCAAGGTTAAGAGGTCTGCATTGTTGGGGCAGGGGCGTGCGTTCCAACGCAGCCCGACGGAGAGTAATGATCTCCTCCAGATCTGCCACCGCACCCTCCCTCCTGAAGCGCTCATAAAGGCAATCGTCGAGGTTGGCAAGAATTTGTTGTCGCCTTGGGTCATCCTCAGCTACGCTATCTAACGCAGCTCGCCGGAGCCTGACGACTTCATCCAAATCCGCATTCGCTCCTTCTTGCTCAAACCGCTCAGAAAGAGACGAAGCGCAGTTAATAAGAGCTGAACAGCGATCTGTGTCTCCAGGGTCAGTGACCTCCAGCACAGCACGTTGAAGCGCGATGGTTTCCGTCAAATCAGCCATAGAACTCTCCATCCTATATCGCTGATAAGTGCAGTCACTGAGGTTTACGAGTATCGACCGCCGCCTCGCATCTCCGGAGGGTATACATTCCAATGCCGCTCGTCTGAGGGTGATGATCTCATCCAATACTACCTTGTCTTCTTCCCTCTTAAACCATTCAGAAAGGCAGTCAGCCAGAATGGCCAGAGTTGTGAAGCGATCCGGGTGTTCAGGGGGCGCAAGCTTCAGAACGGCACGTTGAATGAGAATGATTTCCGTCAGATCCGCCGTCGCGCCTTGTAGCTTGAATCGCTCACTAAGATAACGAGTGAGCTTGAGGAGGATCGGTCGTCTCTCTGGGTCTCCTGAGGATGTGGAGTCCAATAGATTTCGGGTGAGTGGGATGATCTCGTCCAAATCTTCTTCTGCCCCACCCTCCTGAAACCGCACTTCAAGAAGATCAGCCAGACAATGGAGAGCTATAAGGTGATATGGGTGCTGCGGGGGAGTTAGATCCAGCACATTCCGCCGGAGCGAGATAATCAGATTTAAATCAGATTTCATCTTTTCCTTGTTGAACCGCTGAGAGAGGAGAGCAGCTAGGCCGATGAGAGCTGAACGGTAATCAGGATGATCCGATGGAGTGCTTTCCAGTACCGCCCGTTGGAGTGAGACCATCTCATCCAAATCTTCTTTCCCCCCTTCAATTCTGAACCTGTCCGACAGGCGGTCAACGAGATTGATGAGAGCCAAGCGGCGATCAGGATCCTCGGGAGTCAATTCCAACACGGCACGTTGGAGTGAAATGACTTCCGCTAAATCTGAGATAGCACCATCCCTCTTGAACCGCTGGCAAAGGTGATCGCGGAGATGGGCGAGAATTGAACGTCGCTCCAAGGGTCGCGAGAGCATGGATTCCAAAGCAGCTTTTTGGAGGCTAATGGTCTCGTCCAAGTCAGCTTTCATTCCCCCCTTTCTGGATCGTTCAGAAAGTAGATCAGCCAAGTTGACGAGAGCGGAACAGCGCTGGGAATGCCCCTTGGGAGTGAGGTCCAGTGCAGCTCGTCGAAGTGTGACGATCTCGTCGAGTGCAGCTTGCTTTCCAAATCGTTGAGAAAGGAGGTCGGCGAGATTAATGAGAGCTGAATAGCGGTCTAGGTCTTCAAGAGGAGTGAGTTCCAATACAGCCCGCTTGAGCGATATAGCCATATCCAAATCTGCTTTCATCCCATCCCTTTTGAACCGTTGAGAGAGTGGACCAGCCAGGTTGACCAGAGCTGAACGGCGTTGCGGGTGCCCGGGGGGCATGAATTCCAGTAGGTCCCGCCGGAGGGCAATAATCTTGTCTAGTTCTACATTCCACTCTCCGTCGTCGAACCGTTTACAGAGAAAGTTAGCAAGGCTGGCGAGTGTTACGTAGTCATCTTGGCATCCAAGTGGAGTGAGCTCCATTGCAGCCCGCTTAAGCGTAATAATCTCGTCCAAATCTACTTTCAATCGTCCCTTTCTGAACCGCTCAAAAAGGATATCAGCCAGATTGTTGAGAGCTGAACGGCGATCTGGATGTCCCAGGGGAGTGAGTTCCAACGCGATCCGACGGAGCACGACAATCTCATCCAATTCTGGATTCTCAAGGAGCCGTTGGGAGACGAGATTAGTGAGTTCAGCTAGAGCTGCAATACGTTCTGGGGCATCCAAGGGGATTAGTTCAAGGGCAGCTCGCTTGAGGGCAATTACTTCGCCTAAGTCTCCTTGCTGCCCCTGCTTCCTGAGCTGTTCATTAAGAAGATTGCCTAGGTCGACGAGGGCTGAACGGCGTTGTGGGTGTCCTGGCGGAGTGAATTGTAATGCGACGCGCTTGGATCTGATCACCTCGTCTGAGTCGTTGTTCGTCTCTTTCCTGGAATGTCCGCGAGTGGGACCAGCAGGGTTGCTGACACTGTCTAAGCAGTTGGGCTTTAAACTAGTTCTCGGAGGGGTGATAGTTCCACCAGCCTATAGTGGAACGAGGGAGATACAGTTATTGTGCCGGATGAATGAGTGCGCTGGAGTGATGTACCTTGCCGTTCACCATATTGATAATGATGGACTGCACCACACTTGCTGTTGTTTCTGGTTGACCCGTGAACACCTCTGGGAGCATCGACACTCGCCATCTACCATTCCCATTCTTATTCACAGCCAATGACGTGCATTCTAGATTTGAGATCCGCCTGTTCATCTCTTCCCGCGGAATGATGACGTCTGATTCCTTGGTCGGTATCACATAAACGCGTGACGGGGGAGCGAACCCGTTGGGAAAGATGCTCGCGAACGTCTCGAGATGACGTGCTATGAGCACGTCACGATGACTCGGATCCCACCAAAGGGACTGGAGAAAGAGGATGCCGGAATCGCAACAACGCTTGTTAAACCTGGAGCAGTATTTTAAAGGGCATGAAGGTTCACTCGTTGAACTTACATACCTCGATCTTATCCAGTTGGTCATTTCAAGTTCCGCAAAACCTTTGATCCCGGTACAGAAGGACGGTGTATCCACAAGTACGACGCTGTTCAGACCACGTCCAAAATTGCACTTGAGTGCTTGCACATTTTTAGTGCGAATTTTTTCGCTGTCCCCACCAACTCGCACATCATCATTATTGCAAAATTCTCCTGTAAACTAAGCAGTCGATTAGACGTGATTAATGATTGGCATATATATGTGTCAAAGCTACGTACCCAGCTCTTTCCTGACCCGGTAGGGCCGACAACACTTGGAGACAAGCGGGAACAAGGTCAGTCAGTCCAGTGCTAGAGAGATGGACGAGGAGGTGCCAGTCGTCACTCACAAAATTACGAAGTCATTTTCTTTCACTTGTGATAATCCTCTGATATCGGAAAGAAAATTCTGAATAAAAGACATCGGACGTGAGAGAGATGGAAGTTCAACGTTCAGTGCTGCATAGTACGCGTCCCACTCGTCGCAGTGACCGCACGGCACACACATGGCCACATCGTGGTGATGTTTCTACAACAGGAAGACTCGTATATGTCTTGCACTGTTTCCAGTTGCTGAAAATCGGGGGAAAGTGAGGACACGACCACCTGGGGCCCACGTTTTGAAAAATAGACGACGCCGAAGGGAAGATCAAACGGATACACACCAACGTCCTATTCTTACTCTGGAGAAGTGAAGTGGTACTACTGGGTATCCACTGGTCATGTTGACCTTGAACATAAGAATAGGCGACAACGACGGGGCTTTGGGGTAGTGTGCGTGTATTCAAGTAGTCCAACAACTACTACGGAATGTGTCCCAGTTCGTAACTGGGACCTGAGATGATGACAATGGTTTTATGCTTTGTCCATCGACTGACAGAGATAGCCTACATACACCACCACTGCCCCAGGAGACAGTGAACTACACGCGGAATCTTCTGGGTTGAGCCCAGCGAACACTAGGCAACTCGCACAAACTCTGGACACCTGCACCACATAGCGTTGCAAAGTGACGGAGGGATTACTACGATGGAGCGTTCCACTGCAGGGTGACACTCGGTACGGCGACCTTCTATCGATGCGACAAAGTAATTTCAGCACGAAGGCATGGTCCTTGGGGTGGTACAAGTGTATGTCGAATAAACACGACCAGAAATGCCGGATATGGTTGATTGTGGATGTGTACCGGCAGAGATGCACTGTGCGGTGTTTTCGATCTGTTCGAGGAACATGGATGGGTCCGCCTAACGGTGAACTGCGCAGGGAATGTTCTGGGGTTCGAAGACGGGATTGTCTGCGATCGAGTAGCCACATGCCAGTCAGCCGGTAGTGAATTGGATGGCGATAGTGAAACAAGCATGGGTGTTATCTGCAAGCGTAGTGGCCCCACTGGATGATCCGAACCATCCAGGGTGCCCCGTTTCCGTCTTGTCTTGGATGGAAATGCGTCGTCATCGTTGTCGTCGGGGTGTGGATGCAAGGATGTTGTTGTGATGTGTTTTGGTGAGCCATGTGAGGGAACAGACACTCGACCAGTCCGGTCAGGAAGGGGGGGCAACTCTACCAGTTGCAACTCGGCTTCACTTCTTTTTCTCACTCGAACGAACTCATCCAGAGTGAATCACTGCCGGTGGAGGTCTGGAATATACGAGGGCCTCCAACCAAATCGAAACAAAAGAGAAGGGGAGAAAAAGGCGACGAAGAAAAAAAGAACAACCAAATCATCAACGACAACGACGAGGACGAGGACGACCAACACAGCGACGACGAGCTCGTATTGAACCGCTAGCTGGCTACCTTGACGTGTGATGAACAGCGATGCGACAGAGGCTGCCCTGGGTCTGCTCGGACTCTCTCCTCTCAACCACCACATTCAGGTCTTTGACGCTCACAGTGGCACTCCATCCCACCATGGCCATGGACACCATACCGTACCACCGTCGTTGATACCGCTCAAGCGAAAGCAGCCGTCTCCGAGCAACGTCGCCAAGTCTCATCCGACGAAACTGGCGAGTCCACTGTTGACGACGCCTTCACCGACGACGACGTTCTCTCACCCACCTCTCACTTCGCCCCACCCATCTCTTCTCTCGCCGACCACTTTCCGCTCTCCTTCACTACCGTCTCACCGACCATCCCACGGCGCATCCCCGCTCTCATCTCATCCGCCCCACGCAAACCACACACACCCAGATCCACCACCGTCTACAGACGCAGACGACATCTCCTGCATCTGCGGATTCACCTACGATGACGGTTTCTCGATCGCATGCGACGTCTGCTCACGGTGGTGTCATGCTGCCTGTTTCGGCATCGTCGAGGGGGGCGTACCAGAGGAATGGCGGTGTTGGGTGTGTCAGGGTGGCAGTATCGACGAGGAGCAGAGAGAGAGAGCCGTTAAACTACAACGCAAGCGACTGAAAACCCTGAAGATGAGAAACGGGCCCAATGGAAACGTTCCACATCCGGATAGTGTCCCCGGGGAAGACCAGCCTCGAAAACCGGGTTCCCGACGTAGAACAAGTCCAGGGATGGAGAAAAAACCGCGACGATCGAGTGGCATTACTACGCTTGCCACAGATGGTACTGCCCCGAACGCAACTAAGAAGAGGAGACGAGCATCGATCTTGAATCCAGCGGGTCCATCGAGCTCGGCCAATGCATTGGCCGCGCCAAATGCCAACCCTCCCACAGGCCCCGACGTTGCCCACCCAAGTTCGTCCCGCATATCTCAACCGTAGGTCTCGTTTTCATTTGGATATTCTTGCTTGATTGTCTCACACAACTATTGTCAGTTCCACTTCCAGCTCACGTATTACCGATGTGTTCCCGCCGGACGCCTACTCTCATCCTTCGACGCATGCTCAACTGTTGAAAGTAGCAAAGGCATGGAGGGGCGTAACAGCTCTTAACCCGCCCATTCCAGTCGTACCACCCAGGACTTACATCGATGGAGGCTATGTCCGTGTCGATAGTCAAGGGTACGTTCTCTCATCATCCCTCCTTTTTTCTCGGCTAAACACATTCTGGTCTAGGTACAAGGACCGACACGGATACTCCATGTCCCCACTCGATAACACCACCCCTGTCATTGTCGACGACGGCATCGACGTGATGCTCCCACCAACTGTGCTAAAAACCTGTCCTTCCGATGCTTCACCCTCCTCATACTTGTGCTCGCATGTGGGTGGCAACGGAGTGAATTCTGGGCATACACCCCCGCATCTGTTGCGTCCGCCTTCGCCGAAGTTGTTCGTGGGACCAACAGCGCGTCTGCCACAATCGTCAACAACGTCTGGGTTGGCATCAGCATCGGGTACCGCGCTAGGAACCGCTTCACATGGACCTACTGACAGCTCCAGGAACGACACTATTGCCATCCCTTCCAACACGCTCCTGAGTCCCTACACAGCCACTATCCTTCCTTCTTCGGCGTACCTCGCTGATCCACTGAATGGGTATGCGCACTTGGGGATGGGGAAGCCACAGGTGAGATTGGTGGGTGGAGGTTGGTGTGTGGGTGTAGATGCGCGCGAACTCGGTGGACGTGGGACGACATTGAATGTGCACAACAAAGGGAAAAGAGTGGAGGGCACGAATGGGTCCGAGGAGAGAGAAGCAGGAGGACAGAAGGGAAAATGTGCCGCTGCCACTCCCGCAGCAGACGAAAGTCTTGGCAAAGGGAGATGGGCACGATGCGGATGCTGGCCAAACGCGGTGGTCAGACCTGTGATATGTGGTGGTGCGAGACGAAGGAAGAAAAAAGGAGAAGGTGGGGATAGAGAAAGTGATAACGAACAGAAAGCCCGTCGACACCGAGATGGCTGCACGTCAACCACGAGCACCACAACGAACGGCAATGGGGCTATACATCCCCCCACCGAGGACGACTCCGGTGCCCCCCCTCCACCCCCGTCGCCATCCGATACCTCCTCTCACAACGAAGATTCGACAACGTTATCGTTTGGGTTGTTCGCCCTGAGGGACCTGAGAGCGGACGAGGAAATCGTGTTAGGGTGGGAATGGGACGATGGACATGCGGTGCACATGCTGCCGGCTCTAATTGAGAGTCCTGGAATGTTTGGGTGAGTTCATCTTTTCCCCATACTTTCTTCCTTGCTGACCTGTTTTGTCTGGCGCTGACGATGTTCCTTTCCACCCTTTCTATTGCACCTAACGGATGTGACCCCATGGATACTTCCCGAACCGTACCCGCTCCGCGTGCCTATAGCCCAGCCCATCTGCACTATCTTCGCGCCCAATGCACCTCCATTCTTCATGCGCTTAGCAGTACGTTCACAACATGTGCATGTGGCTCGTCAACGCGGGATTGTGCAGTACGCGTGATGGAAAGAGTTGCGGAAGGGAGATGGCCTTGGCCTGGAGGTGAAGCCTCTGGATCGGAGTGGGAGACTGATGATCAGGAAGAAGAGGAAGGTGGTGGTGACTGCAATGGAAGAATGTTGAACGTTGGTCATGGGAGGGAAAGGGAAGGGGAGGATGTGATTGTTGATTTGGAGGCTACGGATTCCGAGGGAGAATCCGGTGCGAGAGGGATGAATGGAGCTGGCTGCATCGGTGTTACTGTCAACTGCAAGGGCCCAAGCACCAATGGAGCGAACTCGATCAACAACCCATCATCGCATCGCAAGCGTCGGAAGAAGGCGAAGGACGGGACCAATGCAGAGAAGACCAGACATGTGGATTTGGGTCCGCTTGTAGGTGTCCAGCGGGGATTTAGGACGCGCGAGAGGACGCCGATGAGTGGAGGGTGGTGTGGCGTCGAAGTCGTACCTTCGAGTCTGGGATGGTCGGCGGGACTTGGAGGAGAGGATGAGGACGTGTACGTGGATGTGGTTGGAAATGGTGGAGGCAGGAGCCAGCGCACAAGTGGGGCCAAGGCGGAGCGGAACGGAGAGGTGGATTGCATAGGTCAGTCGTGTGCTCAGTGACGCGGCTTTTACGTTTTGGGCCGGTCTTGCTGACTGTTTTTGCTCTCCTCCCGCAGACGACGGTCTTCCCGGCGAGGAACATGTTCTTCCACCGCGCATGCGTAAGCCGTGGTCACAACAACCGGGGCCGTCACGGAGCCCAACAATCACGAACGCCGAGAGTCCGATATCTACCTCTAGCCATGGAAAAGCAGGGCATGAAGTGGATGGGACGAGTGCGATGGAAACAGAGTTTGATACGGAGACGGAGGGAGAGGATACGGCGGATGGTGAGTTTTCATTGTCTAACATGTTGATCATGACTGGTAACTCATTTTCACCCCGTTTATTCTTTCAGATACTCGTCAAATGCCACCCCCGCCAATGCCGGCATCACTGGATCCCACAACGATATCCTCCCTCGCGCATGCGCATTCTCAAGCCTTCCCGCACCCTCGAAGTTCTTCGCCTCATCAGCCGAGTAATACGACCGCGAAGAATGTGCCAGATCCACCGCGTATACCTCCACGATGGATGCCATCGCGAACGACGAGTTCCCCGCAGACACATAGTGAACTTCATATTGCACCAGTATCAGCGGGCACCGTGCAGCTTTCACAGCCCACGCCACCCCAGCCTCAGTACCAGCAGCAGCAATTGTATCCGCACACGCTGGCAAGTATGTCACCCTCTGTACCCTTCTCGAAGCTTTCGCTGTTCTCGCCTGATGGTGGTGCTACGATATCACAAAACGGACCGGTTCTGTCGCTCAGTTCCGTTTCGTCAGAGCGATCGACGGTAGATCAGCCATCACCGTCTACTCCCACCAGCATGCCCTCTTCCTCGTACTCGGAAGCACGGTCGCCCTGTGATGGTACGATACCGCCCGCTGTGCAAACCGATGACTCCTCCCCCTCCTCGCTGGTGCAAGACTCGCAGGCAGATGTTAATCGGCGTTCCTCCAGCACTGAAACACACCGTGTCCGGTTTGTGTCCCCTGAAGTTCTTGGCGGATTACCGTCGTTGACAAACGGGAACAATGTCCATGTTAACGTGCTGCGGGACGTTGAAGACGAGGTCGATATTGTAGGGGGTGTGGACGGGCTTGATGGTGTAAACGCTGATGCCGACACCGGAGGAAACGAGTCTCGGGAGGTGAACGAGGCGATGGACGTTGATGTAGACGTGTCAGGGGACGTGTCGGATGAACAGCGTGTTACGTCGGCATGTTCTTCTGATCACCAGCACCCCGGGTTGGAAAACTCCCACGGTGAACAACGTCCCACGCGTCAGTCTGGTGATACGTCTCCCTGTACTGACGCTCCATCAATCCCGCCATTTGGATCGGGGTCACGTCATGAACAACCCCTTTCAGACCAGTCACCTCAACCGGTGGATGTCCCGATGGAACCGGAGACACTCTGCGCGGAACCCCAACTCCCACATACACCTACACCACACCACTCTGAACCTGAACCTGAGCCCGAGCCATCGCAGCCTGCACGAGTACCCTCACCCCCGCCGCCTCCCAAGGTCAAGATGTCACTCAAGGACTTCGTCCTGCGGAAAAAGAAGCAGCGCGAAGAGGAAATGGCGGCCAAGAGTGTGCTATCTCCGGCTAGTCCCTCCGCACATTTGGCGCTGCCGCCCAGTCCAGGGCCAGTAGGGGACGAAAGCGGAAGCTCGGTTGCTGAGCCTGCAGAAGCTACCAGTACCCCGGGTGAACGTGAACGTGATGAACCACAAATTTCGGTGACTGTGCCTGGTGTGGACCTGAACGGCGATGACGACCTGAGTGCTGTGAACGCACCCGGGGATGTCGTCCGCACGGACCAAGATGACGTCGCACCTCCCGAAATTTCTCAGCAGCACCTTGATTGTCAGGAATCGTCATCATCGAACGAACCTGGGTCGTGCCAGGAAAGAGGGGTTAGTGTGGAAGGATGTCAGTCCTCTCCCCCGCCACTGCCACCGCTTACGCCGCTGCGCGTTCCGGACGAAAGTCAAGTGATCCAGACACAGACGAAAGGTAGTCCAGTTGCTGATCAAGCTTCCGCGGAGAAGTTTGAGGCTAGGGATGACGCTCTACCCAATGGAGCTACCGGAGGCAATGATCGTATGCATGATGTTGTGAGCTTCGCACCTGATCCCCCACCCCCGCCATTGAACAGCCTCGCGGCTTCAGCAAACCATGTTGACAGCGGTGCTGCTGCTTCTGCTTCCCTTGTCCCTGTTCCTACTCCTGCCCCTACTCCAAGTTCCATGTCCACCTCGTCCACGTCCAACTCTCGTGCCACCTCCGTTTCTGCCTCTTTACCTACTCACCCAAGTCAATATCCTCGCGCTACTTATCAGAGTTCTGCGTCTCGTCGAATCCCTCATGAAGATGGAGAAATCCTTAGTTCCGCGTTCTCTAAATCGTATGTCCCCCGGTCACATACGCCACCGACGCAACCACGATCGTTTCAAGCGCCCCGCGCACCATCGCCAGGGTACAGCCCTGGTCCGTCGTCTTCACGGCGACCACCACCACCGCCACCCCCGCGTTCAGGTCCTGGTCCATCTTCTTCAGTCGGTACCAACGCTCTTTCCCGGCCATTGCCTAGCGGGCCACGTGCACTCAGGGGAACTATGAACCAATCATCGTACCCACCGCCACCTCCGAGACCGTATTCGGGATCCCAGTATATTCCTCGAGGACCGTCGGCGGATCGCGATAGGCTAGACAGGGAGCGCGATAGATCGTGGAGCGCGTCGTCGAGACCGAGAGGAAGAGCTGGAAGCACTGGGTGGGGGAGGTGAATGTTCGATGTCATTTTGCACACTCTCTCTCTTCCCCGTGGACGTTTCAATCGATTCGTTGCCTAACCATTATTACTTTTTTTTTGGTGTTCTTTTGACTTATGTATGTGTTTCGTTCTTTGCTCTCACCTTTTTTGATGCTTTCTAGTTTCAAAGTTCTTTCGTCTTTCGTGCAACTCCATCGTTTGTCTGCTCTTCTTTTTTTTTTTTCCCTTTCCCCTGTCGTCCACTGTGGATCATGCACATGTACATGATTGCTATCACTAATTTCCAGAAAGATAGATACATGGTAAATGACAAAAACGTGTACTATCAAATGATGGCGCTTTGTGAGAGAAACTCGATCAAATACTAAATCAAATCTTCGGCGCTTTGGCACAATTCAGCGCCCTTCAGAGCTTGACGTATCCAGACTCACACGTGCACTCTTATTACTTTTTGAATCTTGACTCACCAGAGTCAAACTAAGATACAGGCTCGGACCCGTGCGCAGTGGCAATGCAGCGCGCTCTCACTAATAAACGTTACGGTGTGGTCCAGTTTCCCGGCTTTGGGTTAACTTCGACATCAATCGTGATAGAGTGGGAAGGAACCGCACCGCGTGCGCCAATCACTCACGCACATATTGAGGTGGTAAGTCATTACCGCATAGCAAGACTGCTTACCGTAAGGATAGCACTGCTGACCCCTCCCCATTGAGCCATTGGCAGGCGGGTGCTTTCGATTCATTGCCGACCCTAGGTGCCTGACGCATATGCATATGATTCCGGATGGCATTTCATCCCATGCCTCGAATATGGGGTTCTGATAAGGTGCGTATATCCACCGATATGGTGTATTGATGCGGCGGGTGGCGGTGGCGGCGGGCAAGAGGCAGACAGGATGTTAACTTCGACATCATCACGAACCACGATAGGGTGGGAATCCATCTGTTGATCAACGCGATAGACGGCTGTGGCTGCAACTGCGGACGGGATCTGGCTAAGCAGTTCATATGATCTGTCTTAGTATCATATCATATAATGGGTGTGATCCTCATATCTGCTAGTCCGTATCCCTTACAGGCTGACAAACGTGCAATGTGCCGAATGATATCGGTCAACAAACTATCCGTGTACTTCCTCCTTTCATGGGTTGCATGGCAAGTCGGTCTCGCTCTCAGGCCGATGTCTCCGATCGGAGAATATGGTAAGGTGTTTTCCCTTGAGGCTTGCACTGACAACCAAGAGGGCGCTTACACACGATCGAATCCCTCGGCTTGGGTGTGCAACACTCCGACTCAGACTACATGTTACCGTCGAAATCTCAAAGAAGCCTTCTCCACATTCCAATCGAATTTGTCCGAGCGGCGATTCTTCACAAGATGTTATCATGTCCACGCGCCCTACCGCGTTAACCGCGGATGGGTTACTTCACATCCGACGGTGGTGTACAAGTCCTCCTCGGCCCTCGGGAAGGGACACGTTTAGGCAGTGTGAGTGTGTTCTGTGTCTACATGGCAACCTCAATTCCGGCGGTTACGCCGTCGTGCGGCGGGGAGGTGAATGGGTGATGTTACTGGCATACTCACGACGTCAAATCTGAAGATTTGAAGATCCTACCCCTACCCACACTGCGCACGCAGTTGTGGATATCCGTTTACCCCCTCGTACATACATACCACGCAATGGTTCGCAATCTGCCCCGACGTCCCCGGAGAGTGATGCAAATTGCAAGAAATATATTTTTCATGAATTTGCACCATGGTCACTGATGGTGAGGCTACCTTCAACCGGGAACTAAACATCCAGTGCAAATAATACCTGATTGGTAGCAGTTGGTAGCACAGTGGCGCTGCAAGAGCACCTGGAACTCTCGCCAGCACGAGGGGTATCATTGAAACCCCTTACTCTTTCTTTCATCCTTGTGGGAGGAGTACTACTTGAGTGCTTGGATTTGACTTCAATATCGACTACTTGAATGGTCACGTGACCCGCATGTGTGGGAGTTATGACGCAGTGGGAGCGGCCGTTCGACGACGACCTCCTCAGTTGGCAGGCTGGAGTAGTGCTCTCACTGGAACCATCACGATGTTGTACATCAGGAATGCTTTGAGACCTTCGCTGACCCGCATGTTTGTGGCTCGTAATGCTTCTTTGCATACCCTTCCCGAGCTGCCTTATGCCTACAACGTGAGTGGTGTCGGGTACTGTCGGACGCTAAGACACCCAGCTTAGTGAAATGGACATCCTAGGCTCTCGAGCCCCATATTTCCGAGCAGATTATGAAGCTGCACCACACGAAACATCACCAGACATACGTCAATGGATTGAACGCTGCTGAAGAAGCGTACGCTAAGTCGAAGTCAGTGACGGAGAAAATCGCTTTACAGTCTGCTCTCAAGTTTAACGGTGGCGGTGAGTAAGACAATGATATCGAAGGAGCACCACTGACAAGCAACGATACAGGCCACATTAACCACTCACTCTTCTGGAAAAATCTTTCCCCCGTCAACGAGAACGGTGGTAAGTTGTTTGAAGGGCCCTTAAAAGACGCTTTGGAGCGCGACTTCGGATCTGTGGACGGGTTCAAAAAAAGATTCAACGCTGCTACTGCCGGGATACAAGGCAGTGGTTGGGGATGGCTTGTAGGTATCATGTCAGGCTATTCTGCGATGCCGCCATCTCAACTCTATGACAGGGCTATAATCGGGACACGCAAAAGCTCGAGATTGCAACGACGGCTAACCAGGACCCTCTCATGTGTATGGGGCTTAGTCATAGACTGCATATCACGGCTCACGTTCCGTTCGCAGCGCTAACTCCGATCATCGGTGTTGACATCTGGGAACATGTATGTATAACATATCTAATTCTAGAAGCACGCTGAAATCTTCTTTGTAGGCATTCTATCTCCAGGTGAGCATTCTAGCTCGGCCCGTCGGATATCGTCTGAATAGGTTTGCATGGGCAGTATTACAATGTGAAGGTGGACGTAAGTTGATTATGTTACGTTGTTACGCTCTAGATTCTCAATTAAGTTGACAGTATCTCAACGCCATTTGGAATGTCATCAACTTCAAGGAGGCGGAATGCAGGTTCTTGGAGGCCACGAAGTAATTCTGCATACAAAAGCGTACAGACACGTCTTGTGTACTCGCGTACATTTTATGATCAGAACCTCCGATTCACCGACCTGCATGTGCTCGGTTGAGCAACAAACACGAGGTCTACTTAGTCGTACGGAGTACAAGGTTCCCACCAGAAGTTACTGTGAGAGAGCGGGACCATGCTCAGTGGGTCCGTTGGTACGCTCACTCGTTCATATTTGGTCATAAGAAGCTTCGTCAGGCTCGTTGCGCGTGCTCTTCCAGGCAGCCGAGTAAGTTATGCATTGACCATCCTTTAGTCATCGCACAGTGTCGGTTTATCATAACGCCGGCCCTGTGCACATGGAACTGTGAACGATTTCTATGCCTGTGATATTGCGTTTAATTCGGCAATATATCCTGGTACACCGTACTATGGCCTAGATAAGTATCTGTGAGCCGTGCTCAAGGTGCGAACGGATACACTTCTGCGCTGGCGTCCCCGCTTGCTGATGTGATAGCTAAGTGTCATCCAGTGGCCCGCCGGCAGTGCAGGGATGGCACCTGGAATTGACAGAAAGTAGTTTGGTATGTAACTTTGGACTTGAAGTAGAAACCATGGTTTCATCCACAGCATTTAGCGGAACGTTCCTTGCGGTCCGGCAATTATTCTAGCCCGCACAACCCCTTTGACCGGATCTGTCATGCCTTTCATTTCGAGCGTTGATGACCGGTAACAGGTGCTGCTGGTCTGCGGCCCGCGAACCAAGGACAACAGGGGAATAAATAAAGTTATGTCAGGTTGAATACCTGCGTTAGGCTCAGAATCAGTAAGTAGTTGGAGTCTATCCGTGTTGTTGGTGACTTAGAGCGCCTGACCTAAGTGGTCGGTACAGGACTTCAAGCCAACTTGAACTAATCAGGTTCGCTAATCTTTAGGTTTTGGTCTTGACATGTCGCAGAGAACGACCCGTCGGACTTGCCCTCAGCCTAACCCCATTAGTCCTTGCCTTTTCGTGCAATAAAGGGTGGCCACATCGAGCGTATCAGCCACTAACGTGTGAAGTCGTCATCTTTATCTTATCAACTAGAGTTTATGTAACACCATATGTGGTACCACCAGACCGCTGAGCCGTGGATGCACATATGGCTTCTGCTTAACCTCTGTAGTGTCAATACTGTCGATCAGATGGACAGTCTCATAATCCGAATCCGGCGAATTGAAGGCGTTTTCTGGACTCCATGTTCTCCGGTTCTGGTCATGGTCATTTGGTAGGAAATTATTGAGCATTGGAGGGCACTGGAACGGCCTGAGATCTTGACTTTAGAACTGATTGTATTGCTCATACTGGATAGTAGCACTGCGCTTGGAGGTGAACTACCGAATACCGGCACGAAGCTCGTTCATGGTATAATGTGTGACTGATCCATCAGACGGTATTAAGTTCGGAAGCATACATATTTTACTTTTCGAAACAGACTGAAGGGTTACCAACCTCTTCAGCGTACTATCCAGGTATGTAAGTGGAGCTCCGATTTATCCATTCAACTCGGAAGAATTTCTACGGCGGGCAGATCGCGACAAGTCAAACCGTATGGCAAACAAGTGAAACCGGGAGACTAGGTATGCAGCGCCTCAACGATTTGAGTCCAAGGGTTCACCCGGTAACCCAGACTTGCGCCAATTTCGCTGGTCGGCTACCTACTAGTGTTAGCTCCCCTGTTTCGTACGGAAAAAGAATGGTCTGGAAGACTACTTCGCGTCGCTAGGGCCATTCCGAACGGCGCCGCAGCAGGAGGGTAGCTCTGACGAGATGGCCTCAGTTGTCACATTGCGTGCATACCCGCATTCGTAATGGCTTCATCGCGAGTATGCCTCATGACGGAGGGGGGGCAGAATCCAGTCCCGTCTACGTGTCACTGGCAAGACACTGGCGTCCTTTCTGACAGATGGTGCGTTTCTTGTGAATATTTCCCGTGCAAATTATGGACGAGTGGGACGAACTGCATCGCAAGTATCACTTCTGGGATTTCTAGACAGCACTAACCCCCCTATAAACGACATGAAACGTGACCTTGATGGTGTGCATCTTCTGAAAGCTATTCCCAAAGTCTCGAAAAATGTATCTCATGCCAACCAAAGGTAGAAGGTATAAGCGCGTGCAAAATGACGAATGACATGATCACCGCCACGGTTCCTGCGTTTGGAACGACCTCGCGGGATTAATTTCCGCCGCGCGCAAGTGTACAATCGAAAGAAGAATTCTACGCACACCTGCTATGCCAGGAGGGGGAAAGAGATGTGTCGTGTTGTGTTTTACTTCGAGTGCTGCCTGCGGTGTTTGCCGTGGAAAGTCCATTGTGACGAGTTGAGAATCCAAGTTCAAATGACAACTCTACCATTATTTGTGCCATTATAATTCCGGTACTTGCTTTTGTATGTTTGCCGCACAGGTACTGCGGCGCCGATCAGTGGCACTTGATCAGCTGTGACACTGTACATGGATTTCCCAGGAGAACACGTGATACAACCCGCTTTATGCGAGTACACAATCACTATCGCAATGATATCAGGACACTTGTTCATCAAGGTCGCCCACAAATGTCACAGAACCGTGGCCACGGGTGTGCGTATGCCGTGAGGGTAGAAGATCAATTAATGAGACTTGAGAGACCCACAGGATGACATGATGGTTGACCGTCTTGCGGCAGAGAGTTTCCCGAACCGTAAATATTCCCATGACCTGACCCACTACCAATGAGTAAGATGTCACTGACTGTTTTGAAGGGCGGTGCAGAGGAATATTTGCCTTTGCTCCCCATGGGGCAACGTGGATGAGAAGAACAGTGCCAGTTTTTTTTTTTTTTGAATGTTACCGGTAGATTCTGGTGTAGTCTTTGAGGCAGCAAGGTAGTTTCCACCTCAACGACCTCCAAAAGGCACTGGGAAATTGGGCAGATGGGTATTGACGAACGGTAAGTGGTTGCTGGCTCATCAACAATGACACCTAAGCGAGACAGGGCAGACGGGCAGGGCACAAAGACGAATGGAGTAAGTCGAGGAATAGTACTAAGTACAGGCATACACGTTCAACGAGTGTCTGGAGAAAATTAACCTTGTATAGCTAAATCGTCAGTCAGAGTCCCTGCGGCAATGACAGCTCAGTTTAACCACGCTGCCCTGTGCGAGGACCCTAGATAATATATAGTATGTATACGCGAGACAGCTATTAGGAGAAATACTGTCAATCTGTGTGGCAATCGATGGATGTCCGCGAAAGTTGTGTACGTAGTTTGGGTCCCGGCGGAACGAATGTTTTGACGAACAAACAAAGCGTGTTGTGCACCGGTGCAGACATGTCAAGATATCGCAAATAAGCCTTGATGCGGACTTCTTTTACCTGGAAAAGCCATCCATTTTTGCAGAAGGCGGCGGAAAATACATACCGACTGACGCCACGCACAGCTCATACGGTCGAAGATCTGATGCGTACTCATATCCATGCAACCGCGCCCATCCACCACCTTTTCGGTCCATCACGGCTTGGATTATTGCGAAGAATCCCTCGCCAATGGTCGGTTAGGCCATCACGTTGACAGCACGTTACAGCCTCGTGTTCGCCGAGGTTGCGACCGCTCAACCCGCGGCCGTGTCGGGTGCTCATCCCAGCGAACTTCTCTTTACCCGGAAACATGTTATTGCGAAATTTTCTAGACACCGTGTGTTACTATGTCCTCGAGCCTCTCAATGGGCAAGTGAAACAAGCTCACATCCATTTTGGAAGAGGACGCCGCTCCGGAACTTCGCACTGATCAAGATTCACATGGAAACAATCGTCGATCCTGCGAGTCCATGATGGGATGGTTTGGATTCCAGATCGCAATCTGGCTAATTGATCCATCTTAAGCCATGACGCACCGCCATCTAGGTAAGGATATGACTTTTTGGTCGCTGTCTAGATAACAACGAAATTCGCCTACTAGGACGAAAAAAAACGCGGTGTTCTTGGTCTTCCCTCACGTGTGTAATGTGTCATGATGTTCAAGGTACTACCTTGTACGCGATCAGTTGGTGGGCGTCGTTTCCCCAATTTATGTCTTTTATAATAATCGTTCTTTCTACAGGATTACCTCGGATACGACATCCCCTCTGTTCAGATTTGAATAAGTAGGTCCCGGGTGCTTCCCCCTCCGTGCCAAGTGTCACCCAAGCATCCCCTCCTCTCAGCGAGTCTGAGCTGTACTATTGTGTTTCCCTCTGCCTTGTCTCAAAGTCGCCATGATCTCCTCTGCCCTTCCATCGCAATTCTGTCTGCAGGACCTTGCCGCCATTACGGGTCGTGTATGTGAACTCAGAGTCAATCCTCACCAGGCAGAGGCAGACCGGGAAGCGCGGGTTTGGTTCAACAGGTTGGTTGTTTCAATTAGCAGTTCCCCATCCTGCATGAAAGTGACTCTTTCTTCCTTCAGCATTGGTTTGTACGATGACAGAAAGAAGTCTAAGTTCCTCAACTACGGCAAATTTGATCTCTTCGCTGCCCTAAGTTTCCCTGACGCGGATCTGAAACACCTCGTCACCTGCCTCAAATTTTTCTTCTGGGCTTTCTCTGTACGTGCTAAAGACCCCTTGCTACATCCATGACTGACCAAGCGTCATCCAGACGGATGATCTGTCTGACGAAGGGGACCTCCAATCAAGGCCCGATGACGTCAAAGCTGGTCACGACATCTCCGTTCGCGTCGTGGATGAGCCTGGTGCTCCACGTCCCGAATATCCATATGCTGCTATGTTTTATGAGTGCGTACTCAGGGTGTTATGTTGTATCCATGACGTAATCTATCTCCTTGCCAGTCTTCTTGAACGCTTCCGCGAAACGTCTACACATGGCGCGTACAAACGGTATTCATTCAACTATTCCTCTTACCTAACCTAACATCTGAGACATCATTTTAGATTCATCCGTGCCTGGGAAGAATGGAGCAGTTCACAAGTAACGCAGTCACGAAACCGATCACAGGATCGCATTCCCACTGTTGACGAATTCATCCTCATGAGACGGGCTACCATCGGAGGGGCGATGGTTGAAGGTGGGATTCAGACCCCTTCGTCTCCCCCTTTGCAGCTGACCCGGCCTGACTTGTAGCTATGGTCGAATACTCTCTGGACTTGGACTTACCAGACGAAGTTTTTGAGAATCCCATTATTCATGCTATGTCCGACGCTACTAACGATCTCATGACGTGGCCGAATGTTCGTATCTCGTCACCTCATCCTTGGTTGCGTTCCGACTGATCGCACTTCTACAGGACCTCTGTTCTTTTAATGTAAGTGTGGTCTGGATCTTGGCCGTATTGCCGATGACAACGGATTTCCATCAGAAAGAGCAATCTGATGGCGATTACCAAAATCTGGTATTTTGCATAATGAATGAACGCAAGGTTGGCTTACAGGAGGCCATCGATGTCCTTACGGAAATGTTGGCACAGCGGGTGAATGATTACGTTGAATTGAAGAACAAGTTGCCATCGTTTGGGGCCGACGTCGACAAGGAACTCGCTCGTTACTTGCACGCGCTCGAGAACTTCGTGCAGGGCACGGTATTGTGGTACTATCTAAGCCCAAGTAAGACCCGCGTAGAAAGTCATGCTTCATTTGCTGACATTTTCCGGTGCGAAAATAGGATACTTCCGCGGTGTCGATGTCACCAACAGAGACAACTTGGTTGTCCCACTGTTCGAACCCGGTGCCTTTTGATGACCCTAACTTTCCCCACAAAGCTATCCCTGACGTGTGTTGATCTGTCGCTTTCGTACGTATCTCTCTGTATGTATATTTTCCGTGGTACGTGTCCGGTGGTCACTGGGGCCTTGGTTCGCAGGGATGGGGCCCCTGTCTGACCTTGTAATTTGCCTATATGAATCTGTATGCTTCCTTTCCCCCCGCTGCTACTTTACGGACCCACCACGCCCATCGATAATGTTCTCCACCCTTGCACCTACCTGTCTGTCTTATTGTACTTTCCCCCTTGCCGTGGCGTTTGGCATCTACGATTCGTGACGTGGTCTTTGTATAAATGTCTTGCCTTTCTCATGCACCCACCAAAGAAGCCTGCCACCTACGTTGTGATCGGCGTATGATTTATGAAGACGAAGAAGCCTTCTTCACTTCTGGCTTCCCGATGAGCTCGAATTCCCCCACAACCGTAGTAACATATCATCTGGCTGAAATATTCTGTCTGGATGACCACTGGATGACCAATTGACTGCCTTTTTCAGTGTCCACGGGTGCCGTCCCGGGCTGCCGTACCTGATCCCCCAGATACCCTCGGCCTCGTGCAGCCCACCTTTTAGTTGGAATATATATCTGGTGTGCGAATATTTGCTAGTGATGACAGGAAAAACTATTAGACATGATGTGAGTAAATCTGGGATCTTTCTGCCTTGGGCACGGTCCAACGTGCGTCATCACTGCGTTAGAAGCGGGGCGCTTGGGGGGACGAATATTGATGAGGCACGCTGCGGATGGCAGACCCTTTGATCTCGACAAGTCGTGCTTTCTACCGACTCGTTTCTTTTCCGCTCTTTACGCGTCGTCAATGTCATCGACACCTACATTCGACTTTATCAACCTAGCTTAGGCTACCACTCCGGCGGTACTCCAGGGTATTCCCTGCTTGAGTTAGTCTAGCTTGGGCAGCTGGCCTCGGTAGGTCCTCCTGATCGCTTAGACATAACCTACCTCATCTGTTCACGTGTACCAGACCAATGGCCATGCGGCCGCATTCTGTGCAAGGTAGGTGTACTAATCCCCGTGCAAGGCGAATTGAATGAGGTAGCATCCTGTCCTGAATACCAGTTTTCCGGACTGAACATGTGGCTGGAACATACGTAGGTATGGAAACGAAATTTGAGCCGGAAATGCTGACAGGTACGAACTTTCGAGGGATTCTGATCTGCTGACATGGTCGCTCTCACTTTGCCTTCAATGGTTGTCTCTGCTTGAGATCGTCCTACCGCCACCATTTTCAATAGGTGAGCTAGCTTGCGTGACCTAGATACAGTTGGTCTTTGCAGATCGGCAGCCATTCACTGATGAACCCCGCCATCACGAGGTGGCTCATTCCACTTCTTTAGGAATGGTCTCTTCCACCCACGCGTTGCGCAGTAACTTTAGTGAAGCCTCGTTGACCATGATTCGCCGGATAGGTACACACACTCAATCGACCAAAAGCCGCTGTATCACCTAAGTACGGTTTACATCGACAGTCGAGTGTCAGAATTTACGCGTCGCGGGTACATCTCTACGCTTGTGAATAGAGGCTCCACCTCCGTTTTCACTACGCGCTCCGAGACGTAGTAATATCCCTTTTTATCTCGTTCTAACACCACTAGACTTTGTCTAGCTATCAAGAGTTCGGGTTTGGTGGCTCGGTAAGATCATTCTGGAAGTTTAGACCCGTTATCGATGAATGTATCCAGCCAGAGGTCCTTCGAAAAGTAGTTTGCCCATCCGAATTGGAATCTCGGTCCAGCTGACCTTTTGTACTAGTTACTTTGTTCAGTACAAAGGAACTTACGCACTTGGTACTCACGTCACCAACAGGGCATGCCTCGTGTTGCCCAGATATGAGATGTATTGAGTAAGTCACTTTGATAGGCGCAACGGTTTGTATGAACTTACATGCTTCTTTCTGGAGCTCAAAACCCGAACGGGTAGCGCCATGCGGTTGCGTAGCTGTTGGTACCCCTTTTGGTGTGGAGCAATGAGTTACACCATCCCCGGAGATGTCCAATTCGGGGTTGCAGCTTGCATGCCCAATACTTCGGGGAAGCACCGTTATAATGTTGTTGATTACATGTAGGTGTCCCGCCGGATGGCCCATGCTTCGTGGCAGAAGCTGTCAGCTGCCAACTGCGGAGTACGTATGAAAACTCGCTCAGCTGCTGGTCGCGTGCGGTTTCTGTCATGGAGTGCCGTCTATCGTCTTTGTTTTCTTTGTAAGTATTCTTGAATCGAGCCGAGTGTCCTTGGAGTTGTCAGCTGCCGACGCGGCTGGGAGATAGATGGGGTTGAGAGGATCTGGTAGATGTCAACGCCGAAAGAAGTCAAAGTAAAATGTATGGGAGTGAGACAGCTAGACGACATTTTGACCACTGCTTCCACTAAGGTACGGCCATTGGGAGTCCTCTCTTGCATCTGCTCGTTCAGACGGGTGCTGTCTTTCGCTGCATTGAATCGGTACGTCCAGGGGTGCGTCCGCGGTAACGTAGCAGTTTTCTGCAAGGCCAAAGCCCGACTAGCATCTGATGTTGAGACATACTACATTTCGCTGGTTGGCAAGTACTATACAGTTAGATGTTCGGCGAGGGGATGGTGGCGCACTCTGACATTGCTGCAGCACCGACGGACATTGAGCTGTGCACAGATTGGCATCAGGTGTCCTGCAAGCAGGTTCCACAGCTTCGGGTATGTGCACACTGTACCTTTTCACCGGAACCTGCACGTCAGCTCCGTCAGCGACGAACAGGGGAATAATGCTGGTGCTGTGATGCTGAGACAAGGTTCTGTCAGTGCCAACCACTTGACTGACGACCTGCTGGTCAGGGATGGGGTGGGGTGGGGTTGAGAAATGACATCGTGAATAGTGCTTGGGCCGAGGCCAGGGTCTTCTGATAACACCAATCGGAACGTTGACGGCCGAGCAAAGTTGCGGCTACAAGAAGCTACGCAGGTAGGTTGTATTGCGAGTATGTCGGGGGAGGCAGCATCCTGTCATTATATCCTTCTTTACAGTAAAGGCTATCGAGGTGCATGCATTGATGCAACCCGGGCTGGACCAGTTTTGTTATAGTAAAATACCAAATTGCCTTGTACGCGGCCCTAAAAATGTGCCCCTTCACGTGATTCTGCCGGTCACGTGTGAAGGGGCAATAGAATGTGTCCTCGCCCGAACAGCTACTAGACTTCAGCCGAGTCGGTCTCCACATCACCTCCCTCAACCTTCGTAACAACCATAATGACATTCCAACGCAACTACTTCGGTAAGGGTTCTGTAGTAGTACCTTCGGACGATGGGCAAGACGTACGGCGCGTCGCAATTACTGCGGACAGACTCATTACGCAGCCGTTCGAAGGCATCGACGTTGTACCCGATGTCATTGCGTACGCTGCACGGACACACGGTACCAAGGAGGCCTTAGGTTGGAGAAACATCGTTTCCATTCACGAGGAGGAAAAGGAGGTCAAGAAGGTCGTCGCTGGCAAGGAAATAACAGAAAAGAAGAAGTGGAAGTATTTCGAGCTTAGTGATTACCAGTACCTCTCGTTCATCGAGGTCAGAGAGCGAATCTTGGAACTCGCTCGTGGACTGCTGCACTATGGAATACAAAAGGACAACGTCTTCAACATCTACGCGCAGACAAGGTGAGTCGCTTAGTCCTTCCATTGGAAAGGTGGCGCTGATCTTTCCACAGCGCCAACTGGCAACTCATGTCCCACGCGTGTACTACCATTGCTACGCCCGTGGCTACGGCATATGATACCCTTGGGGAGAGCGGGCTGACACATTCCCTTAACGAGCCGAATTGTGTTGGCATTTTTACCAACGCAGACCTTTTCCCCACATTGGCGCGTGTGGTTCAGAACACCCCTTCTGTGAGGTTGGTGGTCTACGACGGGGAACCCGACGCATCTCTGCTTGACGATATCCGTAACGCGCGTGAGAACGTGGTCGTCGTTTCTATTGACGATCTTCGTGAAGTAGGCAAGGCTCAACCCGCCGATGCCCTCGAGAGCAGGAAACCTGCAAAGGACGATATGGCTCTGATCATGTATACCAGTGGAACCACCGGTGCACCAAAGGGTGTTGTTCTTACACATGCAAATGTCGTATCTGCTATCGGTGGAGTGTTCCATTTGCTTGGACACCACTTACGCTCGGACGACTCTTTCCTTGCATATCTCCCCTTGGCTCATATCATGGAATACGTCGTTGAAGCCACTCTATTCACCGCAGGCATGAAGACCGGCTATGGTCGTGTCAAGACGCTCACTGACGCGTCCGTTCGGAAATGCAAGGGTGACCTCGTCACCTTCCGGCCTACTATCATGGTGGGCGTTCCAGCTGTCTGGGAAGCGATTCAGAAGGGTATCATCGCCAAGGTGAATGCGGGTGGCCTGGTTAAGAAGAATCTGTTCAACCTCGGTTACGCCTTGAAGAGGTCTCGGATACCAATTTTGAGCCAAGTTGCGGATTCTGTGGTGTTCAGCAGTGTTCGAGCTGCAACGGGTGGGCGGTTGCGTCTTGCGTTGAGTGGTGGCGCTGCCCTGAGTAAGGAGACACAAGAGTTCTTGTGTGTTGCTCTTGTTACTATGCTTCAAGGTAAGTGGTTCTGGTAGTGATTAGTCAGGATGCGTACTGATAGAGTTGAATGCACAGGTTATGGTATGACGGAATCCTGTGCTATGTGCGCTATCCTTCCCCCCGAATTGCAGCAATATGGTTCTGTCGGCTTGCCTTCGCCTTCCATTGAGATCAAGTTACGGGATGTGCCAGAAGCTGGGTACAAGTCTACCAACAATCCACCTCAAGGCGAAGTTTGTATCAGGGGACCCGCGGTGACCAAAGGTTATTATAAGCGACCGGACCTCAATAACGACGAGAACATATTCACCAAGGACGGCTGGCTGCGGACAGGTGATGTTGGCCAGTGGAACCCTGACGGCACGTTATCTTTGATTGACCGGTAAGTATTGCCTATGACGGCAGGGGTGCGAACCAGGCGTTGACGGCATCTTTTTCCAGTATCAAAAACCTTGTGAAACTTCAGGGTGGAGAGGTACGCTTTCCTTGCAAGGACCTGTGAATCCTAGTTGACGTGGCTTGGCAGTACATCGCGTTGGAGCAACTTGAGACCGTGTACAGGTCTTGCAACATCGTAGGCCAACATTTGCGTATATGCTTCCGCAGAAGCGAAGCAGCCTATCGCGATCCTTATTCCGCATGAGTTAAACCTAAGACATACACTCGAGAGCAAGTTGAATGGCGTCGACGCGAGTGCCCCTCTGTCAGAGTTATGCCACAACAAGGCGGTGCAAGAATTGGTCTTGAGAGAGTGCAATGCGGTGGGAAAGAAGAACGGCCTCAAGTCTATGGAAACGCTCGAGGCTGTCATCTTGACTGCGGAGGAATGGACCCCCGAGAATGGGCTTGTAACGGCTGCTCAGAAGCTGCAGCGAACCAAGGTTGCACAACATTTCGAGAAGGAGATTAAGGTTTGTTCTATGCGGCCGTTGCACCCACACAGCTTCGCTGACTCGAGCGTCTAGGAGATATACCGCAACCAGTAATTTGGTGGTCTTTTGACTGTTCTTCGTTGGTTCCGTCCTGTATCTATGTAGTTGATATGCAAAGTGCTTTATTTGAGTGCCGGTGACAGTCCTGAACCGAATCCGAGGGCGAGGCTATGAAAGGTCCATTACGTAATACTAGTGGTATCATATGGACCTGCTGCGATTCGGCAAGGCCACTCTCGCTTGCTCTGTTTTCTCTTCTTCGCCGTCCACCACCGTCGCATTGGCGTCGTTGACGAGTGCAAGTCAATACGACTCATTTCTGTTTCATTACCATTTTCACTTGTAATTGTCGTCATTACTGACCCTTAGGTCATACGTGCCCAAGGTCACCCCAAGGCATGGCGTTTCGGACTCGTCTCTTCGTTCACTGACCAAGAACAGGATTTCGTTTTTTTCGATCTGTATAAGCTCTGCGTCGACAGCCTCTTCTTCTATCCTTCCTATTATCATTGCCCAGGAGACGAAGTTTGAATTGAGTTCAAGAACGTAATGTCGTCACAAGTCCCCGTACGTGCTCCCCTGTTCTTTCCCTTGTCTCGTCAGACGAGTTTCTGATGTGTCTACACTTCCATTGTCTGTGCATATCAGATTCGTAGGAAGTTGGTCATTGTCGGTGACGGTAAGTCCACCTCGCCCTTTGCTTCTGGAGGCGGTATGTTGAAGTGCGTTTCACTAACTGCTGACCTTCTACTCGATCCCGGTCACTCGGCCTTTCGGGCACTCGGTTTCTTGTACTCCGAACGCATACGGCTACGGATGTGAACATGCATGACGCCACCCATGTATGGCCCGAGACAGGTGCATGCGGCAAGACCTCCCTTCTTTGCTCGTTTGCGCTTGGCGAGTTCCCAAAAGAATACGTGAGTACCGTTTTCTCCTGTTCCAACGGAGCTGATCCATGCCCCTGGGTCTGCCCGATACACAGCAACCGAGTAAGGATTTCCTTTTGATACCCAGCCATGTTGTGAGAGAAGCCTGATTTTGTGGTGTTGCTTTCCTCTTTTGCACTTGCCGCCGTCTTTCGGTGCGTACGTGCCTACGTCATCGCCACATCATTGGCTATTCCCCTGGCATTGGATCCGTGTCTGTTATGTACAGCCATATTCGAGAATTATGTTGCGGAGATCAGGTTAGACGGCAAACCGGTGCAACTGGCGCTTTGGGACACTGCGTTCGTGTCATCTTTTTATTCTCAGGGGCATTTTTTTAGACTCATGCTCTGTGTCATGTGCTGCGTGCAGCGGACAGGAAGAGTACGAAGTGAGTGTCTGTCATTCCCTCAATTACTGCCGATAGTATCCGGGACCATCACTCCACTTCGTTTGGTCCCGTTTTCTTATCTATTTTCGCATGTTCTTATCAATGGTCTTACTCACACTACTTTTGTAGCGTTTACGACCGTTGTCATATTCCAAGTCACACGTCATCCTCATTGCATTTGCTATCGACACGCCGGATTCACTGGACAACGTCACCGTCAAGGTACGACTGTGCCTTTCTCAGCGTTCTCGAATGGGATCTAATCGGGCGATGCCGGTATCTCAATTACAACTCGTGGACGGTCATTGTTTGCCGAATATCTTGCCACGGACAACTGCATTCGCACACGGCAGTGGATCGAAGAAGTACGTAGTATATGTGGACCGACGATCCCAATTCTTCTTGTTGGGTGCAAGGCCGACCTACGGCCGCCTCCTGACTCCCCTGATATCGGTAACTATGTCTCACGTGCGCAGGCAGAGCGAGTTGCGAATGAAATCGGCGCTCGTGCGTATAAGGAGTGTTCGGCACTGAAAATCGAGGGCGTCGACGACGTGTTTGAAGCTGCGACCCGTGCGAGCATGCTCATGCGTGAGGGTGTGCCATCGGCGTTGCACCATAGGAGGAAGAGCAGTGGAAGGAGCGGCATGGGCTCTCATGGGGATTCTGCTGGTGGGGGATGGAAATGCTGCGTCGTGTGCTGATCACTACGTCTCGGTTGATGATCCACATGTGATGCGACAGTCCGGACGTGCACGACTCCGATGTTTTTTTTTTGCTCTCCTCTTTTTGTCCTAGACGGGCTTGACTACTCTGGGCGGGGTGCGATGAAGAGTCATAATCGATCCGTTTTGCTTTTTGTTCCGCCCGCATTGCACGGTCGTTTTCATGCGATGATTTCTGTTCATTTACACTCGGCTTTGTCGTCTCGGTTGTTGATATGCATGGAAACAGGGATGGCTCCAACTTCCTTGTTCTGCTTGTTCCGTTTCCTTGTGCCTTTCATGTCTGGATCTCGCAGTCTCTTGTGATATTGTCTTTCCTCTTCACATTAATACGTGCTCGCATAGCCTTCAACCTACCTAAGTGCTTCGTGTCCTTTGTTCATGCTTTGTTTGTTTTACCACGTACGTACCAAGATGGTTGCTCCCCTCACTTCCTGCTTACACCAAGATATACACATCAATACACTACATAGGTGCCTACCATATATGCTGATCATTGATGGACTCCTGCAAATTTGTTCATGTTCATGTTTTTGGTTTACTGATGCTCTTGCTCCTAGAGTTAATCTTATATGGTGGCTTGTTTCCTCCCTTGCAAAAATGATGCTGAAGGTGAGTGTGGGTAGGTCTACCAACAGACCCATGTAGAACCACTTAATTATCAACTGCTGGGTAGGACAAAACTCAATTAAACAACAGAAGAACTAACTCTGAGCAGTACCCAAAACATGTGTAACCCCAGGAGGATTCCATTACCTTTAGATCTGGGATTTTCATCCACCAGCCCATGGTGGTGAAAGAAGAAGTGGAATGCTTACCTCTCAATATATGGTTTTGGAAGGTGGAAGGGCAAGAATATTGTGAGAGCAACAATAAGAAAAATGCAAAAAGCAGCCACCCTCAGTCCATGGGAGCATCTGAGAGTTCATTTACTGAAAGACTAGATGAGTGCTTGAGGCAAGTATTGTTCATCCCGAAAGGGGCTGCCTAAAGAGGAAGGTGTAAAACTGGAGAAGAAAAGTGAACATGATACTCAGTTCATCCTCAGTATCTCATATACCTGTTTTCATAATCCTTCATATGTTTTGATTTCATCCATGTATCTACACTATCATCCTCTCCTTCCTCATTCAAGTCTTAATAGGCAGGGGCTTTTACTTTCACTTTCACTTTCACTTTCACTCCCCTCTCTTCTCAACCATCCCACATGTTCTTCATCTGTTACAGCAGTTTTCAAATGTTTTGGGAAAATCAGAAAATCAGAATTGCACAGCAGGGATTGCTGAAAAGGACCCCAGAGGTAGCTCTAGTACATTTCATAATGAATTCATACAACTATCACACTGTGGGAAAAACTCTGTTTGCTGATTTGAAGTCTGGTCTAGTCCAGACCTCTAAATATGGGCACAAAAATGGTATTGTTAGCATCTACTCAAGCTAAGATACTGATACTAGTCTCATACATTAGTGTAGCAGTTTCAGTGCTATGTAGAGCTGCATTTTGTATCTAAGTTCACTCTGTGCTGCTACTGTGTGATGCTGTGGCAGCTGTCACACTGTGGAAAATGTTATGTTCTGATGCAGTGACTTTGTCAAATGGACTAGGCATGAAGGATGGAGGGACACTTCACAGGCTGAACTTATCATAACCCCTATGGCTTCCCTGCTAACCCTGACTTCAATAGATTCCTTCTGTTAGGAGTGTACACCTGATGCAAAGGAAATGAGAAGAGAGAGAGTATATTTGAGGAGAGTTGCACAGTAGCAAAAAACTGAGGTTACAGAATATTGTACTTCTAGTTATATACCTCCCTGGGAGGGTGCACAATAACTCTGTAAGTAGCTAGTCACTGCAGACAGTAAGCAATGAAATAGAAATGATTCACTATGGCTGAGTAGTGAAGGGGACAAGGCCCAAACTGGCTGCACAATCAGACATGCACAGTGAGGAGGTGGAGCAGGTGATGGAGATGAAATATATCAAATATACTGTACAGGGGGCAACATGGGAATGAGACAAAGGAAACACACAAGAAGGCAATCAGAACACAGTGATGACACTGCAGAACTCTTCTAGACCAGCAGCCTCCCCTTCCATGGATGGTGAATGACCCAGACCACCACCCAAACAGTGATGATGGTGATGGCAACCATCTGAAACCCAAGACATGCAAAGATGTATGTGTCATTTGACCAGAAATGGTAGGGAGGCAGCTTGAGGCATAACAGAAAAAATGCTGTTCTGCTGAGAGTCATTTACTAGTTGAGAGGACTACTAATTCGTTACAGGATGCATGTACTAGGGCTGCTAACAAAGGTACAATATCTGTCATCCTTTGCCCATTGCCAGAGTTTTTCTGGGTATTCACTGACAAGTTTTTGCTCTGTGGCTGTGGGTTTCCAGGAGGAGTCTTTTCCTGCTGAGGGGTCCTCTGGTTTCACATCCAAGCTGGTCAGGTGTCCAATCAGCCCTTTTGAACTGATGGCCCATTCAACCTGAGCCTTGTACTATAGCCAGTTGCTTCCATCTGCATTTAGAGTTGGGACTTGTAAGGAATGATTGTCATTTGCCATAGTGGGTAGTGTTGCTGTGTAATAACTCTTTCAGAATTAGAGCATGAGAGTGGAGCTCATAACCTAATGAAGGTATGAGTTTCTCAGTGCATGAAGTAGTGACCAATGAAGGTATGAGTCTCTCAGTGCATGAAGTAGTGGCTTTATTAGTACCCAACGAAGGTATGAGTCTCTACACTATGTCAGTACCAAATACATATGTAAATGAATGGAAGTATAGCTAAGCTCACCTCAGTGCATGAGGTAGTGACTGAGGTGGAAAATAATGATACAGAAAATTTATAGTACTGTAATTACTAAGTGGGGTGACATTGGAATTTAATTCTGAGGGTCAGGGAGAAATTCCAAGCCCTCTGGGTGAAACTCTGAGATGCTTCTGTAACCCCAGAACACATACTCAACAGTGACTATATTAGTACCTAACAAAGGTATGAGCTTCTACACTACATCAGTACCAAGTAAATGAATGGAAGTATAGGTACACTCACCTCAGTGCACAAAGTAGTGACTGAGGTGGAAAATAATGGTGCAGAAAATTTATAGTACCATAATTACTAAGCAGGGTGACATCAGAATTTAATTCTGAGGGTCAGGGAGAAATTCCAAGCCCTCTGGGCAAAACTCTGAGAGGCTACCATAATTCTGGATCACATTCTTGACAGCTACCTCTGGGGTCCTTTTCAGCAATCCTCACCATATGATTTTGACTTTTTGATTTTTCCTGAACATTTGACAACTGCTGTAGGGCCATGATGTATGTATGTCAGGATCCAGCTCTCCTGCCCATTTCAGGCTCAGAGTTGTCAAAACCATGCTTTGGAGGCTTCTGTACACTGTTCCAGATTGTGGATAAGGTTTGGATGGACTTGATTATGTCAGTATACTGTGAAGCTGATTCAAAAGATTGTTGTCAGGCACTGTGGTCCTGTTAATGCTATGTACATGTGCTGGAGCAATTTATGGACAGTGGATGATTAGCATAGCAGGTTAGTGATTAAGAACTGGTCCAAGTAGTCACTGTGGGATGTGAGAATCATGGTCCTAGCTTGCTAACAAGCCCTGGGGGAGCTATGACCAATTTGGTATGGACACTACATATGTAGTTGGTGTTGGAGATTGTGCATTCTGTTATGTTTCACTGCTGTTTTCACCTTGTGTTTGCCTTGCTTTTGCTCTGTTGGACTTACTTCCTTTCTTGGCCATCTTCTCATTGATCTAATGGCCCTCTGTTTTTATCACTAGTGTTAGTGTCTCATAACATGCTTAGGACATGTGTTGTCATTGTTCAACCAATGGTGTAGTTACTGTAGCTCATTACATGCAGACACCTCATGATCTGCTTTCTTTGTAGTATTTAGACTGCCAGCTCAAGTTCTGGAACCCTGGACTTGAGCTGCTCAATCATATGCAGTGTTCCTCAGAACTTCACCCTCAGTGTCCCTAACCTGGACCACTCTCACCAGCATTGCCAAATCCTCTGTCATTTACAGAGGTTACCTCAGCCATTTGCTAGGTAGAAACCATAGTCTGTGACTGAGCTCAACCTATGCCTTGACTTCAGTCTTAGCATAACAAAAGCTCAAGTCTCCACAGCCTATTGGTTGAAGGTCACTGTCTAGTGTACCACCATGAACCCTCAAAACAACTGACATTTGGTGCCATTGCAACCCACATGAGAAGAATCATCATCTGATGAAGAACAGGAGAGCCCTGTCACTAACACCTCCTCCAACAAACCTGAACAACTGGATGGAGGCTTTACCTCAGGTAGCCTCTCAAATCTCTTCACCCAATCTCTTGCATCACTTGGTACTCCTCTCCCACCTGTACCTACCCCTTCCACATTTCCTGCACTGCTGCCCCCATTGCAGAATATGATGTCCAGTTCATCATTGAAGGCAATGACCAGCACCACCACTGTCAAGGCCACTGAGTTGAAGATTGGTGCTCCATCTGATTTTGACAGTGACCAGAAGAATGCCATGAACTGGCTGTTCTCAGTCCAGACTTATCTCATGGTAAATGAAGAAGTTTATGACACTAACACCAAACAGGTGGTTTATGCACTGTCATAAATGAAGAAAGGGGTTGCTCACTCCTGGGCAGCAACCTTCCAGAAGACATCTCTGGAAAAGAATCCCCCCAGTTTTGGGACATTTCCTGATTTTGTGACAGCTTTCAAAGCCTCATTTACCTCCCCTAACTCCACTGGTGTCACAACTGCAAAATTGCATACTCTCAAACAGAAAGATTTGGTGGAACAATATATCACCAACTTCTGCACTGCCACCACTGATTCCACCATCACCCAGGATGTTAACTTGATTGAGTTCTTCTCTCAAGGACTTAAACTGTTCATCATGAACTGCATCCACATGATGGAGACCACCCCCACTAAAATTGAC